ATGATAACTCTATCCGACTTTGGAATGTAAAAACATCAAAGGAAATACTCCAATCAGATGGTAGCTATAAAGATTTGCTTGACTAGTTCAACATACCTCTTCAAAATAGCTCTTTATTGCCATATGGTATTTAATCTTTATTATTATTTAGTTAATCCTTATTGTACAATACTTAGAATATGTTAGAATCCTTTATTTGAAGCATCAGGAACACTTATCCTATAAGGATAGTTCATTAATCATTAAGGGAAAGATTTAAAACCATTGTTTTAATCCAAAGGAAGTTGCTTTTTAGAGGACTTAAAACAAAAGCAAAAGTGAATTTGAATATTCATTAAAAACATTACAATTATAATTTTAATCATTTTTTTATAACTTTTTCAATTAATTGGTATTTTTATTACTTTTAAATATTTGTTAATATTGAGATGTTAGAAACAACGGTTATTAATACAATACACTATTAAAGTTATAATTTAAACAGAATAAACAGGTTTAGTCATAATAAAGATTATTAATACTTTAGTAAAATTTAGTTTAGAAAAAGGTAATGATACAATTAATAACAAAGATAACCAGAAAGATACATTTGAAGAATTTAAAAAATAAAATTTAACTTACTAATATCTAAACTTTGGGATTGAATGATTTTAAAAATTAGTATTTTCGTAACCTGTTATTTATTAATTTCAATTGATATTAAAATTATTAGAGATAATAAAGGACTGAAAAGATATATTAAACATCAATAAGTATTCTAACCTCTAATAAGATTTAGAGATCATAATTATATCCATCCCTAACAATAATGTTAAATAATCTCTATATGAATTACATCCAAAGTAGCTACTTTCAATAATATTTTTGTAACAGTTATAATCTTAGCCCAAATTAGAAATTATTTCTTATCTACACAATGATGATATAAGTCAACTAGTTCAATTTTATTAATTCATTATGAAATTACAATATTACTCAAGATTGGATGTTATAAACATATAATAAATAATGTTAAAAATTAACAAAATATCATCTCTATAACTTTGAGTTTAACCCTATTAGACAATAAAATTTTAGAATTAATTACATTTAATAATATTACATAAATGTATGTGTATTTTATCTCAAAAATTTTTAAGTTACGCTCAAAATAATTTCTACTAAATCAAGAACTTCTTTCCTAATTTAAATTGTCTGTAAAACCAATCCATTTCATAAAATTTTATTCAATAATAAAGTATTATACAAATATTTAGAAAATATTTGTATAATACTTTTTAATGTATATGTATATATATATTTAGGGAAGGAATAAGAGATTTAAAAAATGAGGATGTTGTTTCGAAAGACTTAGCTTGTCAAGCCCCTTAGAAGCGCATCAAAGTTATTTGAATTCAGCACTTACAAGCTTATTAAACTTCTAGGTCAGAAAAGGAAACTCATATTAATTAAATTAATAAATTGAATGCTATTTGTGATTATGGAAAACAATTGTACAGGGATAGTGTGAAAAATCCATTATTTATACTATCACAAAATACACTTAGCATTTTTTTTTTTTTAGATATTCAATTCTAATTACAAAAATAGGAAAGCTAGCGCCATGCAAACAACCTAATAGTCAAATCATGTTAAGAAGATAAAAAGTTTAATGCTACCATAAGAAAATGTGAAAAGAGTCTTATGTTTTAGACAAGTTGTGCATGCATCGCAGTTTTTATACCTAAATGAGATTTGAGCGCCAATAGTTTAATTTTGCCCTATTAAGCTTTGTTGGTAACAAATGTTATATTTGTGCTTAAAATCTGCAATGTGTTACTATTACTTTTGCAAAATTTATTATCTTTGAAAATTCGACTATGAGCTTTCAACTTACCATAGCGAGGATCTTTTTTATAATAAATTACTTGGTGTTTATTTCTGGTAATAGTTATTTACACATCTTCACCTCATTAATAAATATAAAATTTGAATGTCCTTTACTCCCTACTTCTTGCAAGTCATCCATTTCAAATAGATGTCAAGCATTTCATTTTATAGTTAAATAACTATAAAAAGTTGGGAATAGTTGAAAGTGAATAATTCTAATTCCCATTTCAAAAGTTTGTAAAAATACTCAATATTATTGTTATTAAAAACAAAAAGAAGGCATTATCAATAAACAATAACAAATCGATTAATCATGAATAAACTAATATTGAGAAACAATTCATAAGTGAACTCAACATTATTAATTCTTTCATTTAATTATTTTTGATAATTTTACATATAATATTCCTTTTTTCGAATTTTAGTATTCATATGTTTTTAATAATGATCTAATGATTTCATACTTTATAACTATTAATTTTTGTTCAATATTTAACATCAGTTTTTCAATGAAAATAATATTCCCTCTTCGTACACAGAAACTATAAATCTATTAAATTAGGCTAAGCTTGCCCATCTGATCATTTTTAGAATGCTTCTTGGTAACCTTTAATTAACTAAGTGTTGCATGGTTGTAATCAGAAACCTATGAATAAACTTAAGGGTTTATTTTGAATACAAAGTAATTTTCAATTATTTATAATTAAAAGCTCATAAATTTATGAATCACCAAGTCTTTTCTTTTCAAAGTTGGCAAATATTTTTGTCTAACATTTTTCTTTTTACACTTTATATGAGAAACAATCAAGAAGTCTTTTCGTTATATGTTACTTTATTTTATTATATTCCATTAATTTAATGTCAGAAAGTTAAATTGAATTTTTATAAAGGTAAGTAATCAACTTAACTAAAGAAAATCATCTGTTAAAAGAAGATATCTTGGCATTCCATCATTTTTTAAATAATAGAGTAAAGGAATTGAAATCATACCTTAGAGATGTTCCCAATAGATATCTTAATATGGAATTGTGTGATATTACACAAGCTTTATAATTTGTCAAGGAGGATGCTGAATACTATTAATTGAACATGAATGCTCTCCAGCATGAAATTAAACAACTGAAGATTTAATGTGCTGAATTAAAATAACTATTGCTTGAATAGAAAGATAAATATTAACAGCAATAATAAAATATTGAAACTAACTTAACAGAATAATATTCTAAAGCCCTAAAGGAACTTTAGGAAAATTTAACATTAGCCACTTCAAATTGCTAAATATATAGAAATTCAATGAATCTTCTAGCTTAAGAGAAAACAACATAAGAATAGTAAATTAAAAGTTTCTAAAATGAAATTTAAAAACTAAAGAAGTAACATGATGTTGAAAAAAACGAATTATAAATGATTATAGCAAGAGGAAAATCATAATTGTCTGACTTGGAAAAGGCATATACAATTCGATTACATAAAGTTTAATAGTCAAATTTCGAGGAATACTAAACGAAATTAAAGAATTAGGCTAAGGATATAAATGAAAAAGGTAACAATGAATTTTACTTAGATTAAATGCGAGCAGAATTGGAGAAGAAGATTTCATCTTATGAGAAATTTAACCAAGAATTGCAACAAGGTTATGAAACTATCCTTAATTAATAGACAGAATTGCAAGAAATAATTAAAAATTAACGAGCAGAAGCCCAAGTTCAATCCTAATTAAATTATTAACTTTAAGATAATTCAAAATAACAAGAATCAATTATTTCTGATTTAAAATTATCAATTGCCTCATTGAAAGATGAGATGTAAATGACTTAATAAGTACTTTAACAAAAAATTAAAGATATCGAATTGTAAAAAGAAATCTAAAATTAAATATTAGTAGAATTAAGTAACATAGGCACAATAAAAATTGGAATTATGAAATAGTCATCTGCGAAATCCTAAATTTTGGAAATGATTAAATTGATAAAATAGGAAAATTAAGAAAACTAGGCAGAAAGGAAAAAACTTAACGATTAGGTCATTAAATTGCAAGACAATAAGTTATAGCTATAGGAAGAATAAGCGTAACTAATATTTTAAAATGAAATTTTTTAACAAAAAATTTCTTAATTATAAGATCAAATAGTTGGGCAACAGGAATTTGAAATTAAATATAGAAAACTGATAAATGAGATAGTTTACTTAGCTTAAACAAACCCAAAGATAATTAAATCTATTCAAAAACACATTTCAATTGACTTTTATAAAGAATATACAAATCTCAATAAAATAACAGAAAATGATCAAAATAGACCTTTATTTTTGTTGGCTTATTAGTCCGAATCAATTGATGTTGAATCAGATTCAAAGCCAAATAAAGGTTAGGAAGATAAACCATAGCAAGATAGGTTAAATAGTTAGATGGATGAAATTAAAAGTCTGAAGCAATTTGACCTGCATGAATCAGAACAAAATTTATCTTTTTAATGGAAGAACTCAATTAGAATGACCTTAACTCCGAGTTTATATAATGTTAAATAGGAGGATTAAACACAAGTAATTGAAGATTTTCGGGCTGATGCTCAAACTTAAACAGATAGGAAGAAGTATATGTCAAAATTTCTACCTCATGATAATCTTGATGAAATAGTTGAGGAAATAAAATAAGGATATTTAGGTTATCTAGATACATGCGATATTCATACTCAGACGGATTACTCAATAGAAAATAAATCAACTTAAACTGCATAAAAGAAAAGGTTAAGTACAAATGAAAGCAAAGAACAGAAATAATAAATAAATTCATTGTAGTAAACTAAAAATATTGATTCTAATCTTACTAAATAAATTGAGGTACAATAATCTAAGATACTATCATTAAATAAAATAATTAGTGATTTAGAAGTATATAATAATATCAATCTAGCTCTAATTAAAAGAATCCTTGTTTTTGAACGACAAATATAGTGAAGATTTTGAGTTGAAATCTAGAGAATTATAACGATTAAAGGAATTAAGTAAAAATTAACTCTAAGATTAAATGGTAGATTATGAAAATAAATTGGAAACCTAGTCTAATGTATTTAAAAATGAAATAAATACAATGAAACAAGAGTTTGATACTTTTTAAAAAATTTAAGACTAAAAGATTTAAAAGCAAGAGTAACTAATTCATGCATAAGAAGTTGAAATATAAAATTTAAAAAATTAAAGAAAGGATTTAAATGCTTAATTGTAAGAAAGAAATTAAAGAATATTTGAATTGACTTAACAACTATTAAAATTTGAGGAATAATCTAAAATATTTACAGAATAACTTAAAGAATAAATTAATGATTTACAAAATTAATTTAATAATCGGCCCAGTAGACAGGATGATTTGGATATTATCAAATAACTTGAAAAAGAAAATGAGGATTTAAAGGAATAAATATAAAGTAACTTTGCAAAAATAGAATATGCTAATGAAATAGTGAAATATCTATAAATAGAAGTAGAGAATTACAAAAAGTAGTATAATTTATTTTCAAATCATAAACCAAATAATTTTCCAAAAAAAAGAATTTTATTTGATTCAACGCTGGAGGATGAAAAATCAATTGTTTTTGATAGCAGATAAGATTTCTTGCCCACTGTTACAAATCGAGATTAGTTCAACTCAACTGAAAAAAACAGATCGTAAAGGGGAAAAAGTTATCGTTTATCTGATTTTGAAATTAAACAACATACTACCAAGCACTTTTTTAAAAATGCTCAATAAACTAAAAATACCTTAAATAAAACTTAATTAGTTTAAAGACCTAACTCACCTTCAATTAGTAGAAATACTAAGTATTTGTCAACAATGTAAAAAAAGTTTAATAATCCTTTTGAGAATGATTGTATTTTGCATAATGCTGAAATTTTGGTTGAGAATATTAAGGGTAATACACCTAAAACAAAATACACTCAAAAATCAAATGATTAATTTTTTTTAAAAGGATAATTAATTTAAGTTGAGTTAAATTCTACTACAAATTCTAATAAAAAATTTGATTTATATCAATAAAAATCATGATTAATTTAATTTTTTCTTAAGAGGATAGATATAATTTATATAATAATTAATTCAACTTAGTTTTATTAAACTGGAAAAATTATACTGATACATTATTTCGTGCTGACGGAGGTTAGAACAAATCTTCAATCTATTTTTAAACTCTTTAATTTTAATCTCCTTTTAATTTCACTTTATTGAAAATCAAATTTTCACACAACTAAATTATAAATATTTTTTTTTTTGAACATCTTCTAAGTAATCAAATTTTTTTACACATTTATAATTAATAAAAATGTATTTTAATCCACTTTCTATGTTATTCAATTAAATTGGTCTAATATGTTTTATTCAAATAATAGTATGATGCAGCTTAGAATAGGTAACTTAAAATTTATTATTACATCGTAACATTGGAGATAACATATAAGTACATCGTAATATTGGAGATAACATATAAGTAATGTTAATATTTGAACTCGAAATTGTTACGCTGAAAAAGATAAAACTTGCTCTCTCTCTGAAAAAGATATATGAAACCATTTAGACATTGACTAAGAAGTATTTGCTTTAAAGATTTAACATCAAAAAATTATCTAAGCCTCAAGATACCTAAAAATATGTGAATTCTTAAAACTCAGATAAATTATAAATTATATAAGGACTCATTTCTAAATGCAATCAAAAATGGAAGTTCATTATTTAAATGAGTGCATCCGTATCCTACATTATTTCAATAGTGCTAGGTATTTTTAAAGCAAATTCAAATGCTTATAAAGAAGACTTGGGTTAACTTTAAGTGTTATAAAAAATATTTTGTAATTAATTTAAATGGCAACCTAAAATATTTTTGGGAATTTTCATGACAACAGTAGGCTAATTGAGTTATATGAAATATTGTAAATAATGAAAAATTAATCAGCTGATTAATTGAAAATCTAAGTTTAAGAGGAGATTTTAGAAAAGTTTTCTATTCTTTACAATTATCTAATGTTTAATGAAATTTAACAACTCGCAATCCTTATTTGCAAACACAACAAGTAATTATAGGAATCCATTTCGATGTATTAATACTTGAAATAACAAGAATGTTAAATTGATAAAACAATCAATGTAGATAAGTTAATTGAGTCTTATGAAAATCTTACAAATGAGTAGAATGTCAATTAAAATAAGAATGATGCTACATGGTATAAAATTTTAATATGTTGTGCAAAACTATTATCAAAACAAATCTAAAGTGAAGAGGATACTAAAATCTATAACAAGATTCATAAATAGTTAAATTTTTACATTGATCAAAATTTACCAAGCAATAATCCTAACATTATAATATCCTAAATAAGTATGTTTCATTTACCTGGTATACAATATATTTAGTTGTATTCATCATTTCAATTATTAATAAATACTCTCAGGCACAAGTAATATATAGAATTTACTGAAAAAAATTACTAATATCAAACCCAATTACTTCCAAATATCTTAAATATTAGTTCAAAATAGTCCTCATTTCACACTTAGATTTGGAAATTTTAGTCTATTCTGATTGATGTTACACAAAAGTATTTATAGATTAAACTTTAGCCTTGTCAATTTTAATGAATTATTTAGTGTCACACAGCATTCATTTAAAAATGAAGGAATACAAAGGATAGCCTTTAGTTTTAATAATATTTAAAGGGGATTCAAAGTTATGAAAATTATTTTGGAGGAATCAATTTTAAAGTATTTTTATGAATAAATTGAATTAAAAATAGAAGAATACAAATCAGTCAGTCATAATCAAATTTAATAAAAAGAAAGCATTCAATTTAAACCGCAAGTTCATATTGTTTTTCATGGTTTGGAGGATATCAATTTAGATAATCCAAAATAAACTAAACTTGATTTAGAAATATAGATCTAAATCGGAGAGAACGAATTTTTGTCATTAAACAATCAATCAAACAATTAAACTCTAATTTGGAATTATGATAAGATAAAACATTTTAATTTGATAATATAATTATTAGTCCAAATATTTGAGTGCTCCTAATTATGGATTTAGTATATGCCAAAATCACCAAAAGAATATTTTGAATTTTTATGCTCAAAGGTCAGCAAATAGAAGTTAGAAGTAGATCGATAAACCTTAACAAATTGGTTTCAAAAGGAAAAGCCCCATATTAATAATAGTATTGAATCTCTTCTGGCTTTATTGGAGAGCATTGAATTCTTGCTTTTAAAAGTATCAAAATCTTTTAATTTAGATTGAGAGTAATATAAATAAAGAGATTGCAAAGTATTAAAAAGAAAAACCTATTTCATTTAATAAGGACAAATTTGCTAAAGTTCTTATTTAATCAGGATTTAAAATAGAGTATGATTTAATCAACAAAATTGAATTAAGACTTGCTGAAACCATTAAGAATAATTTAGAATCAATATTAAATTAAATTAGCCCGAAAACTTAACAAATAAAAGGAATTGTATAACTAATTAAAAAAATCACTCCTAATTTTAAATGATTTTAATATAAAACTTATGATAAAATTACATAGTTGTATTAACATTTTTGTTCACATTGTTTATATATGAAGTTTAATGTTTATTAAGATACACAGAGATATGTAATAATGTTGATTTTCTAATAGGAAATATTCTATTTCTTATGAAGCTTTGTGATTCGAAAATGCTTTTTAATTTCTGTTGATTCATTATTTATTCCAAATTAAGTATTAATTAATTAAAACTATAAGGTTGACTAAAAAAACCATTAAAATTGAAAATTGATTTTACTGCATTAATTTTAAGCTTAGGAAATAAGTATTAGTCATGATAAACTACATTGTTTTTTGGGAATTCTCTTCTGCTTATTAATTAAAGTGGTTTTATCGCTTTCAATCTTTCCTTTTCTTTAACTACTTCTCAGTAGAAAAAAATGGTATCAAAAGTAATTCTACCTAAGCTTTAAACTTCTTATTATATGTATAAATTGACAGGTGTCGAATAAGAGAACTAAGAAATAAGAAAGAAAATGGATTTTATTTTGAGAATATCAGAATGGTTTAAAATAATTCAACTAGTTGCTTTTCCTAATAAAAAGTATTGAAGAAATTATCCAACAAGATTCTGTTCATTTAATTGGTGATCTCTGAAATTATTATGTGATGTTCATGTTTCAAAAATACTTGTATGACAATGTAATTCATTAATTTTACTATGTTTAGAATATTTTCATGCATTAGACAATTACTGATTAGTTGTTTAAATATCTTCAAGTACTCAAGAGTAGAAAATGCAGAAAAGGGTTATTAGATGGAAAGCGTGAATAGAGACATCGAAAGCAATATGAATGCTGAATTAAGTAAATATCGGTTAGATTTATATAGGAGCTCATGAAGACTCTTTCATTTAGAATCATGAAAATAAAATCGAAGACTTTGAAAATAAAGCAAATTTTTAGGATTGCGAATAGATAATCGATGAGGAGTCGATTCGATAATTTATAGATGAAATTCCTCATATCTCATTTTAATAAACTGAATAAATGAAGGAAATAGGAGAAAGGGCAATTGCAACTTTAAATAGTGTGATTGATAAGATGGAAGGTTTTGAATTGTTGGAAGAGGAGTAGGACTTTAATTTTTGGATTAAATATGTTGAGACTCCTGAAAAATATTAGATTGGCATTATGAAATACACATATACATTAAACACAACTATAGATTCCTACTTAGAATTCATGAAGGATCTACAATTACAAAAGTCAATGGATAATAGTATTGATGCATTTGAGAAACATTTGGAAGACATGAATTTATAGATCAATTATTTAAGATACAAAAAAATTATGTTCATGGATCCTCGTGACTTTTTGTACATTAAATACTCAGACAGAAAGGGAGATGACTGTGTTGAAATTTCGAAATCGATTTAAGTGGATAATTTCCAGCCTTAGTAAATAAATAGATATATTAAATATTTAGAGAACTACCTGCCAAACAATGTACTAGGGCAGTCTTATTGTTGAGTGGAAATCTAATAAAATAAATTGAGGATAATAAAATAATGATTACAACTTATTCTGAATGCAACATGAAATTAAAATTAAAACCTGTGATGACTAAGCAAGCAAGTAAAAATGAAATAAAGAAAATGGTAAAAAGATATCGTGATCATTTTAATTTATGATGTAAATTTTTAATATTTTTTTTATTAATTTGATAAATTATTATGGATTAGGATAACTACTATTAAGATAGATTAGAAGTTGAATCTCTCTAATAACGTCTACACAAAACAAAATTTTTGGAAGATGAATTTGAAATTCAAAATAATTAATTCAAGCCTAGTAATATGAGAGCATTGTAGCCAGTCTCCTTTAGTGATACAGAAATCAAGTCCAATCGTTAACAAACGTGTAAGTTTAAAGTTCTTTACAAACGAACTGCTCCTTTAAATTTGATGTTTGAAAAGAAGAGTTAATCGCAATGTCATTCGGAATCAAAATCTCAAATCGTAAAAATTAGAAAAAGAATTGCTAAAAAATTATTTAAATAATGCAAAGCCAAATGACATTATTTTATATATATAAATAAATATAATCAAATGAGTTTAAATAGAATACAAGAAAAAGCCCAAGCATTCACATTTGGATCAGAGTAATTTCCTCTCACAAACATTCCTAAATCATCTCACGATTCTAAATTGCCACCCTTTAATAAAATTTTAAAATCCAATAGATAATTGCAATTTCAAAATTAAAACGATTTGCCTATATCTCACAAAAGAGGAAAATCATAATAATTGATGGATACAATACATAATAAGGAAAATCAATTTGTCTCCCTTAACGTTAATTAGAGAGTATAAACAGAAACCAATTAATCGATCATCCACAAGCCTCCCTAAAGTAGATTCAGGCTTCCAAGAAAATTATCCAATTATTCTAGACCACAGTCTAAAGAAGATTAAAATAGATATAAAATTATTGCAGAACAATTAAAATAAATGTTTATTCTTCAGAAGTATTTACTCGAATAAGGCTAAAATGCACAATTGCAATAACTATATTAATAATTTGAAATACTATGTAAATAATTATGATAATCTTATCAATTCTAATTGCAGTATTAGTAATGTAATAATATTCAATCAAATATTTTCCTTTTGCTACTTTGCAACTAACTGTTGTTTCTAAAGTACAAACTTCTTTACATAGGACCTAAATATTTCACTATCTAATACTTAATGAAGTTCTTCTCTCCTCGAATATTCTCTCTCTATTCGAATAAACAAACCTAGAGCTATGTTAATGTTGAGTATAATGTAAAGGATTAAATGATGCCTAAAGAGTGAAATCTTAAAGCTGAGTTGGATCCTCATCTGATGAACCTTCTAAAGTTGTATTAAGTTGCGAATCCTTTTACTTGCATTTAATAATATCCTTCTCAAAATAGATCTCATTATTTATGGAGAATATGGTATATTCTTCTGGAAAGCACTCCTGAAAATATTTTTGCTCTCCTTTAGGGATTCTGAATTTCGATTTAAGGTTTTAATTAGATTATTTTGATTGAACCCTCAATTTATTAGGAGTAATAGATTTTGATTAGTATTTAGAGTTACAATGAAAATCACAACCTCTTTTTTGCGATGATACATACGATTATTGTCTAGTCTGTTTATAATAATTTTTTATCATTTTTTATTAAATATCAAAAGAAATAATCACTTCTATCTTTTTTGCAACAAGATTTAAAATGAATTAGAAAACCAAATTGATATTTATAAATAATATATATGTAAATCATTTTGTGGGTGTTGAGGCTTTTTCAGTTTTTTCAACTTTATCATTTCCTAAAATTTAAGCCTTTGCGATCTTTACAAGCAAATCCATGATATTTGGATTAACATTATCAAAGCCAGCTTACATTGACGTTGTACCTAAGTATTCTTGTGATTTTAAGGAGAATTCTCCTCCGAATTTTGGAATAATAATATCAGCATATTATTCTGTGGGCTTGATAATAGAATCAAAAAGTGGTTTTAATCTATTTAAATAATTATGAATGACTTTCTCCACATCTTTGCCTTTGGCGCAGACTTCCTTGTAAACTAAAACTAATAAAATCAAATACTTTTTCTCGATAATCTCACATCTTAATCATGATGTAAGAATATTTTTAGATCTAGTAAATCTCTCAGTTGTCTATCATACAAAATCAAAGTTCCTTCAATTATAATGACATTCTTATCTTTCGTAGTCAATAGAGTGTTAATGGCAGTTGACTATAAATTAGCATAAATTTTACTAAAAATTTTTAATAATCTTAATTATTAACATAAGGAACATTATTTAGACTATCAGAATTTTGCTTACTTAGATAATATTTGATATATACTAATGATCGAAGTCATCACTGTCAACATCAAAATTATCTTATTTAACCACGCTAACCAAAAACCCTAATGATTGGAGTTCAGTCTAAAGCTTTTCTGTTAATAATGCTTTTCCTGAGGAGTGGCCGCCACATATCTTTAAAAATAAATAGAATCATTACTCCAATTTTAAAGGTTCTTCCACTTAAAGGTTGTACTTTAGGACTTGCATATGTACGAACCAATTCGTTTCCAAATACAGTACTCATAGTAGTATTTGGTGTATTCTTATCCATTTAATTACTTGTTGAAGAACTGTTTAAGTTCTCGAGCTGAGCTAAATTATCCATTAATTAAAAAAACTAAAATTCTTTTTTATAATTTTTTCTATCCAGAGTATAGTATAAAAAAATAAAATAAAATAAAAGACAAAGAAAAATGCAAAGATTGAAAAATAGGTTTTATTAGATATAGTTTGTTATGATTTCAAAGAAGAGTAATAGAAATTATGGTTAGTTCTTATAATATCGATTAAAGTCATCTGAGTTTCACTAGGTTGAATTTGCAAAGAGCCTAACAAATATGCATTCAATACACTTAATAAGCCACTAATGTATAGAGCCCTTGCAAAAGGCAAAACTTAACCTTCTCAGCCAAATTAATTCTGAATTGTTTTATACAAAAGAATTTAGTAACTATAATAAAGATGAATAGGAGTTTACATGAATTGATAAAATCATACGTAATGCAGGCGGAACAACATGTTAGAATTAAAATACAGTTTAATTTTAATCATTTATGAAAATAGTGATGAATATTGATTAATATTGTGAATTACCTAGAATTTAATGAATTAAGGTCCAAATAAATAAAATTTGATTTATTCTTATTTTTGATATCCAAGTGTTCATGTTAATGTTTATTGATGCCTTCTTTAATTTGTTTAAAAATCTGCCAATGTGGATTCATTGACAACTTTTTGGCACTTTAATAATATTATTTCTTATATGGAACAGGCTTGTAAAAATCAACATTTATTGTTTCAACTTATAACATTTTGATGGCAAATACTACGAAAATGAATTTACTATCATAAAATTATATATATTAAATGCATCATCTCAGGGAGCAGATATGATTAATTCTGCCATCTATAGAGCATTCATACAACTATCATCATAATTTACAATAATGAGTGAAAAACACTAATCCAATCAATTTTTTAATCTTACATCAATATTTTCTATCGATTCATAATATTATTCATCATTATGAACTACATCATACTAAATATACTTTTAACTCCTTAAAATGTAGATTTATTGATTTTTTGAGTCATGGATTTATATATACAGAAGCTACTTTATTCAATGTACTCCACTAAGAGAATAGAGCCTCATAATCAAAGTCAAATGGCCTCCCATAATCGTTAATCTCAAATTCAATAATTCTAAGGGAAGTGTCATTAATTAATAGTTTATCAAATTAAATACTCAACTATTCTTTATAAATACTTAGAATCGACTTCATCAAATCTAGACAAATGTTCTGAATCAATGTCTAAAACACTTTACACAACTCCATTCTTTATTACTGGGATAACAATCTCACTTTATGTTTCATTGTCACAAGCTATGTAATTCTAGCAAACCTTCACATCTTCTTGAATCTGAACCTTTCCTTCTGCCCAACATTACCCACATTATCCTTTCCCCTTCTCAATTCTTGGCGTTGCCAATATAGTACTTTAATATGGTCCAACTTCAAGATGATTATCTAATATAGAATCAATGAGTATACCATCAATTACTTCATAGAAACCAACAAAGAATAACCCAGTCACATTATTCTTGAGGAGACTGACAATTGAAGTTTCTATGGCATTCTTACCTAAATTTTAGTATTTTTTTAAAAAGTGATCAAGTAAATCAAGAACTTTTTCATATTCTTATACTTTATTATGTTAATTCATTTTTAATATATTAAATAATTTATTAACAAATAAATACCCAAATTTGAATTACAAATATCTTATTATAATGATTTGTTAAATTTTTCGAATTATCATGAATTATCAAGAATTTTATTCATAATATAAACTTCAAATCCATATCTTCATTGGAGATTATAATAAATTGTATTTTTAATGAATTCCTTTTCACCATTATCAAAAATTTCAAAACCTACACCTTTGAATCTTCTCTAAAAATCTGCAGTGGATGAAGAGGAGCCCATGATTCTCGAGAGAAGTTGTAAAGAGATTAAATTTAACGAACTACTTATTGTACTTAATTATCATCCAAATACAGAAGTAACCTACATCAAAAGATAAGTCTTAAAATGTAAAGGGCTCTCAAATATAGGATGGCTCAATCCTTGTATTAACCAACAAACTGAATAAAATTCACAAAGGAAAAGATCTATTTTAAAAAGAACCGATAATTGAAGATTATTATCAATTTTTATATATTATTATATTTTATTTTAACTCATATTTTTCAAACTGCTATAATAGCCTACAAAGTATCCATCAAGACTGTATTTGTGAGTTTCATTCCACTTTATTTCACATAAAATTTTGCTGCTTAGTTTCTAGCATCAAACTTTTCATTCAAAGCCATACTTTTTAATTATTTCATTTTTAATTATCTTATTTGTAACAATTTTTCCTCAATCTAAGGTTTTTCATTAGATGATGTTATTGAGAGTATTTCATCTCTCAACTTGTATAACTTGAGTTGTTAATTCTCCTTCAATAACACGGCTTCAATTCCTTTATTCATAGTTAATTCTTAAAATGGATTAAAAGTGCTCTCCTAATCTAAATTGTTAGATGATTAGATCAACAATGTTCCACTCTTTCTAAAATTTCTTCCTTAAAGTTAATCAAGAAAAGAGTTTTTTGGTTATTATTATTGGTATAAGCTAATTTGTTCTTCTAGTTACTTCCTGATTTCTTCACTCTCTTTCAATTTGTTCTCTAGATTATCAATCTCCTTCCTAGTCAATTCTGAAGCTTCATTAAATCCTTTAATCTTCTCTAAATGCCTTTGTTTTTCATTCTCAAGAACTTATACTCTATCAGCCTTAATTTATAAATCAACCACTCTATTCTCTAATGCTTCCTTATTTTTACGCAATGCCACACAATCAGAGTAAATTTGAGTTTTCTCCTACTACAATTTTTGCAAATCATCTTTCAATCTTTTTTCAGATTCAATAGTATATGAAATATCAGACAATTAAGATTTTAATTCTTTCTACCATTATGCCCAAAGGGATGTTTATGCATATGAATGCAAAGTTGGTTTGTTTGATAAAAATTCTTCATTAAGATTTTACTCTTCAAATTGTTGATTTATTTGATTCAACAAATGAACAATTGATACACACCTATCTCTGTATGGCTACGAAACAGATTCTCCTTAACAAGATATATAAGATTAATACTGATCTAACTCTAGCTTATTCAAATCCTATTGCAATAATTGTTATAAATAATTTATTAATTCTGAGAATTTCTCATTCTTTCTATTAAAATATCCTCCCCAACATTATCTTCCATAACGTAATTATTTTGATAACTCCTTACATCTTTAAATCAATGTATCGATCAATTAATCAACAGTTATCTGCTATAAAGTTGTAGCAGTTGATTAGTTAATAATGACTTTGAAGTTAAAGATTGAATAGCTATATTTAAATATAATTTGATTCAAGAGAGATTCAATTACTGCCCCTTCTTGAATTTCAAGATTGCTAAGATCATCGTTAATTCTTTAAATTGCAAATTATAATTCTGATAATGAAAGCTATGTACTGATTTTTTCATTTTGCACACTTTAGATAATCATATCAACCAAGGTATCAGCAATTTTGAATTAATTCAACAAAATTCCATTTCTAGCAACTTTCTCTAAAGATTCTCTGTCTGTCTAATTTTATAAGTATATAGTGAATATATTACACAAATCACTTAATTAATAAAGAGATTTGTGAGCATTCAACATCCAAAATCCTAAATCTTATAATTCCTCTTTTATGAATTTATCACTCTAATTTTCTAATTATTATAAAAATTCATCTGCCACTAGCAAAGACTTCTCACTTAATTTTCTTACTAAAATCACTGGTTCTAATAGATTGAATTTTAGTTTTGTGCAATAATCTTATGGTAATGATTTATAAATAATTATCCCCTTTAATGCTATCTGATTTCTTATTTCAATATTGTTTAATGCTACTTTCATATATTTTTTGTATGTATCCCTTTATTATGATATCAATTCTTAATTCTTAAGATTGATTTCATCTAAAAATGTCTTTTTTGGATGCTCATTTTGAGTATTGTCTTCCTCTAGTCTTTGTTGGTCAAATTATTTATTCAATTAAGCTACCTTTACTTTGAGTCTTTGTATTTATAAATCCTTCTCTTATAAGTCATTTGCATTGTTATTAATCTAAGCATTAGCTTAATCTATTTTAAATTGCATATCATTTAATGTTTTTTCCAAAGAATTGCTTTCATCCAATAAAGTTGATATCAATTCTTAATCCAATTTTTTCTCTTCATTAATTGTTTTAATCTAGTTTCTTAATTCTTCAATAAGATCATCCTTCTTCATTAAAGTCTCTGTCATTTTCTCAATCATTTCTTGCAAAGCTTAACTTTCATCAACTCTTTGACACAACTCTTAATTCTCTTCAGTCAATTTCTTCACTTAAGTTTCCAATTTAGCACATTTCATAGCCTTTTCATTTAATGATGGAATGGCCTCTAATCTAATTTAGTATTGTTAAATTTCAGTTATTTTTTATTGCTTGTAATCATCATATTCTTATTTTAATTAGGCCAGAGCCTTTTGTAATTGAGTATTTTTAAGCACAACCTCACTTGAATCTTAAGTGCCTACTTAGAGATTGGCTCCACAAGTGACCAATGCTTCTTCAATTTCCAGATCTGCTAATTCTTTTTCAAATTGCAATTAACTTACTTATTATTATAATTATTAATTTGCTGCCTCAAATTCCTGCAATTTTAAATTCATAATGTCTTTATCAGATTTTAATTATTCACATTCCATAATTAATTTTTCATATGAATCCAAATCTTCCAATTACTCAGTTAATTCTTATTCTAATTATTCTACTTTCTTTTTTAACGATTTATTTTCCAACTTGTAATCATTTGCAACAATTTTTAAAGCCTGATATTATTATTTAACACTGTCTAATTCTTGTTAATGATCCAAAAACTAAGGCTCAGGTTCTGATTATTACTTAATTAGTTATTGTGGCTAAAATATCATATTTGCAATTTCATACTTCTTGGACTTCTTCTGCTTCTAAAGTAGACAGTCTTTCCTCGATTTATTCTTCGACAGGTCGCTTCACTACTGTTTCTTTCTTGGATTCATTTCTTTTCAGAGTGGTTTGTTTTGTGGTTTGGTTGCTTCCATATTAACTCTGTTATTGAGGCTATGCTTTTTAAACAACTGCAGCTGAACTAGCACTCGTCTTTAACTTTTGCGGCTTAGGTTCATCTTTTGTTACTTTTGTAGATTTTCTGAAATATCACACATAATTGTACTTATTTGGATCTCTAGTGACTATTGTTGCCTTTTTTAAATGATTCCCTGTGATGAATAGACCATGACCATCAGGACAAGTAAAGTATTCCTTCCCTTACAATGTACCATTATGAGTCCCAACTTTATTCTGATGTTTAATTAATTCAAATTACATCCAAATGGATTCCATAGAATGTGCCTGGTCTGCCTTCCAATTCCCCGACATATCTGATATATCCTTTTTCATTTTTAATAGGATCCTTCAATATTGTTACGTAATCTCCTTCTTGCAATTACTCCATTTTATTAATTAATATAACAATTATTATATAAGAAAGCTCTAATTTGAAATAAGATCCACGCAATTTCTTTATCGAATTATATTCAATATCAAGAGTACAGTTTAAGGTTTTTGGTTTAAGTAATGATAATCTTGACTTTAATAATATAGTTTTACAATTTGTTAATGTTTATTTAAATAATTAGAAATAATATTTATATTATATAACTCTCCAATAATCATGTTTTTCTTATAGAAAGAAAAGATAGAAAATGAATAGAAACTAAATTTTCACAAAAAAATTATTAAAAAATTAAGCATCTTTAAAGGAAATTAATAAAGTCTTAATCATTTCAATTTTCTGTTCGCATTATCCACTTTAGCATAGAATAAACTAAAAGATATTATTACTTCTAAGTCTTTAATTTTTAATCAATATACATATTGAAATCATTGTTATTATGTCAAAATTTGAAGTCCATAGATTCTAAATACAGTTATAATTAATAATTAAATTACATTAGATAATAAATAAATAATATATTTTCATTAAAATATTTATTATTAGATGGCATAATGTTTTAAATTTAATTAATTTTATAAATCTCTGACTCTTAATTAATAGTCGGGTCTTAGTTCATCTGGAACTATTTAATCAACACCCTGTCTCTCCTAACCTATTATTTATCTTTTAAGTAAATTACCACTTAATACATTGAAACCACAATTAGCTCTTGTGTCTAAATTTTTGGCCCTTACAAATTTTCTCACTTAATGCAATTCGTCATATCGCCTTAATGCTTGGCCAGCCTCATTTTAGGCATACTCCAAAGTGATAGGGTTATATGCCAATCCATTTGTATTCCTTTTACCTCTTGTAAATTGTTCAGAATGATACTGTCTTCGTTATTCGTCCTATTTTAATTTGATTACCTACTTTAAGCAAATACTCTTCATTTCGCTACCATAGTACACCATCCCTTTATAGATTTGCTAATCTCCTTGATTCATAAGATAATTATTTTAGCTTGTATTACATTTCTCTTTGCTTTTTATCTTCGGCTGCGAAGTCTTTTGCAAATCTATCTCGTTCTGTTTTTTTCATATAATAAACATACCTGCCTGAAAAAGAGTCGTATCAGGCATTGGACTATGCAAAAGACTTTTCATATCGTCTTTCTGTGAATCTAGATTATAATTTTATTGGTTACAGTTCTATTGCATTCTCGGTCCTGCAGATTTGATTTCTATTTCCTTTTGATATTCCTAAGATAATTGATTTGCGTACTCTCTCAGCTCTGGTTCTTGGTTGTTAATTAATAATGCCATTATTGTAAACAATCTTAGGTTTTTATGGTGTATAAATGCCTGAACCATAACTAAACGAGGTTGGTTAATATTGTTCAATAGGGTTATAATCTTGTTGTTTAGCAAATAACATTAATAATAAATTTATATTAATTATCAATCAAACTTTTTTTATGCTAAATAATAGGCTTCGAATGATTCCCCAGGATTCAAATGAATCGATTTGTTTTCTTCTGGTAGTTCCATACTTGCTTATTGAAAAGTGTCAAAGGATTGTCCTAGTTTAGAAGCATTAGAAAATGTTCCTATAATATTAATAAACAATTACCAGGAGATTTATTCGGACTTAATCTTGTTCTTATAGTACCAACTTTCTTATTCTTTTTATCGGATTTATTCTTTTGTTATTCTAAATTCTAACATTATTCTTGCAAATCACTTTTCTGATATTTCAATTCATCTTTTTCAATATTCCATTTTGCCCTTTCTTTCTCATGCTCAAACACCATATTAGATCTTCTGATTTCAGCTTCCTTTAATTTTTCTTCAGCTTCACTCAGCTTGGCTCTCCAAATCTACCTCTCTTCAGTATGATTTAAGTATAACTCTTCAATTTTTGTCTCATATTACAATTTTATTTATTCAATTTGATTTTCATAGAGTGAAGAGATATCACTAAAATCTCCTTTATGATAATTTTAATTTGATAAATTGTTCAATGTTAATTCTTTTTGTAACTATTCAATCTTCATAGCATATTCATTAACAATTGCTTAATGATGCTCCGTAAGATCTAAAACTTACAATTAATACTTCTTTTCTAAAGTTACTAACATCTCAGAAATAGAGTTACTCTCCTCTTCTAAATCTTATTATCTGGCTTTTTAGAGATGATTAATAGTGAATTCAAATTTTTTCATGGCTTCTTGTAAATCTTATTTTGATTAATCCTTTTATTACTGCAAGAATTTGAATTTACCTTCCCAAAGTAATGTATCTCGTTCATGTAAGGATTTAAGTTCTTACAGTTCACTCTACAATTTTTCATTTTATTGCTTCAATTAGTTAATCACTTAAGTGTTCGATGATACAATATTTTATGGGGTCGGAAGGTTTACGTTTTTCTATTGTTAATTTTTTAATTCCTCTTATAATTATGTTTTTAATTATTCAACTTATTGTTATAAGTCAACTACTATTTTATTATTATTAATTTCTTATTCTTTGTATTATTGTCTTAACTTTTCATATTTTTATTGCTATTCTTTAAGGTCAGTTTCAAGAGTTAATTAAGCAACATTGCTTTCAATTTTAATTAACTATGTAAAGTTTTTTTATTCATAGTTTTATAATTGAGTTTAGAGTTATTCAACTTTGTGCGAATTGAACTCATTTTCTTAGGTAATTAAAGCCAATTGCTTTTCATATTCAACTTTCATTTTAATATTTTCATCTTATGCATCTTCTAGTTATTTCTTTAATTCATTGATTTACTCGATGAGTTTCTATTTTTCTAGAGTATTATTTTATTTAATCTTTTCTATTTAATCTTATTTATTATTATTCAATGAGTCATATTATCCCTATTATTTTAAAGTGTTTAGTTCTTCTTCATTAATTTAATTGAGTTGATGTAAGTCTTGTAATTACTTTTATAAATTTTATTATTCATCCTAAAATTGTTAAATAGATATTTTCAAAGAATTGTTTACCTACTCCAAACTTAAAATCTATTTTTATTTTAAATCATTTTCATTTTACCAATGCTAGGATAATTGTTGCATTTGCAAATCATTTTATTTCAATTTTTTCTATAATTTCGAAATCTCTTCATCTTAATTATTGTCAAATTAACTTTCCAACTCCTCAACCATTTGATTATACTTTTCTTCCATAGTCTTTCTATCTTCCATAAATTTTTATTCAATTTTTTATCTCTCTAATTCGTACATGCATCTCAACTATGCAATTTATTCTTCATTTTTATTCTATAACAATCTATACTCATTCAAATTTTATCTTTTTAATTCCTCAATTTCTTGTTGATGATTCTTTGTTTTCAAAATCAATTTTTCTTCTAATTCTCTTTAAATTCTAGTCTTTTACTATTCTAATAACATAAATTCTCTATTCAATCGTTATATGTTATCTTCATAATTCAGAATCTACGTTTTTGTTTACTACAATTCTCTAGTAAAATCATTTTATTAATATAATAATTAGCTTTCAGTTTTATTTAGTTCTGAATTCAAGTACTCAATCTATTATTACATTTTTCTTCTTTAGATTTCAAATTCTTGTTCTAATTATTTCATTTCATTCAAATGCATATCTTTCATTTCCATATACTATTTCGAAAATACTTAACTTTTATTCACATCATTTTAACTTTCAAATAAACTTAAAGTTTATTCATGATTCTTCTTCTCTAGCTTCAGTTATTCAGAGAGATCCTTGAGTTATATTTCTAAGAACTATTTCTCTTAAGCAATCAATGCTTATTCTCTTTCCAAACTAGATTTTAATTGTATCAATTAGGATGTCTTATCTTTCAGTTGTGTTTCCTAAGATTCAATAATCTCTTTCAACCTTATTATTTATTTTTCATTTTCTTCATTATTTAAATTATCGATCTATGGCAATTAAACTACCGAATTCTTCAATAATTAGATTTATTGTTAATATTCGTAAATTTTACTCTCTTTACTTTGTAATTTAAATTAAGCTTAAGTATTCTATGACTCCAAATTATTCAATTGATCTTGGAGTTACTAGGTTTTATCAGTTTATACTAATAGTCTTTCTTGCAATTAAGTGATCATTTACTCATATTTCGATTAAACATCTCTAATTTAAATTGTATACTCTGATTTCGTTGAGAGAAATGAGGAATCCATTTAAGTTTCTTTTCTTTAACTTTGTTCTAATTGTTTAGTTAGATGTTGAATCTTTTATTCGTTGAGTGCTTTCATCTTATTGAATTCAGATTCTTTTAGGTAAAGATTTCTCTCAAATTATTTAAATTGCTATTAATGGAGTTCTTTCTACTTAATTAATTCCGCTTATAGTATTTCTAATTATTTATCTGATGAAAATAGTTATTCTTCCAATAATTTAATTTATGATTGTTATGAATAAACTTTATTTTCTTGTTCTTTAACTTTACAAATCAGTTCATTAATGGTTTTATCCTTTTCTGTGCTAATATTTTCATTTTTTATTTAGAGTGGTTGCTATTGTTGTTGTTGTTATTGTTAATTTTATTATTTAATAAACATGTTCGTACCTTCTGTCATCATTTTATTATAGAATTCTTAATACACTTGTTGCTTTAAAACAGTTTTTGGGCCATGTTCCAATAAAAATTGATAGAATAGTTTGATGTCTCTCTCAAATTCTAAGATACTTCTATATTCAGATAATCGTTTTTGCAAGGTTTAAAATTCTTAATTAATAAATTAATTGCATAAGTTGGTTGCTTCTTATTCATTACGTTTACAGATCTCTTTGAATGTTTCTTTGCACATTTGATGTAGATCATCATTTAAATCTTTGTCGTTGATTTTAGATTTCAAATATTCCAAAGCCTTGAGTTCAGAATCCTTATGGTGATTCTTTAATTCTTCAAATGAACATGTAGGCAATTTTAGTTGCATGATTGATTATTCATATTTTTTAAATGCTTCATTTAACAACACCATAGATTGTCTGTCTACAATTGTTTCAGTAATTTGTCTTAAATCAACAGGTTGATTGCTGTTGAATTTGGTAACTACCATTTAAATCATCTCAACCAAAAGTGCACCATTCAAATAAATGTTCTAATAGATTTTCTTGGGTTTGGCATAATTTAACACTTTTCTCCTTAACAAAGCCATTGAATCTATGAACTCTATGCTTTCACTTGATGATGGAATAGTAACACAATCTGAGAAAAGCTTAAGTAGGTGTTTCTTCACTCGATTTTATGATTTAAACTATCTTTCAAGTAGTTCTTTTGGCTAGAGTGCATCCTTGTTTTGTATATCTCTCAAAACCCAAATAAAAGGAGGTAGAAAGTCCTCATAATCTTCAAGATTAATCATGAGTTCAAAATCTTCAACTGAATAACCTAAGGGATAGATATGATTCTTGTTTACCACAATAGATTACTACACTTGATAATAGAGAAGCAAGTAGGATGATTTAGATGTCTTTTCTTTGATCGCCACAACCCAAACCCTCTGTATCTATAATCAATTAACCATCATAGGTAAAATAGAATCCCTTGAGTTTATTATGATTGTTACTTTGGTGCTAGATTGAAAACCTTAACCCTGCATGAACAATTTATTCAATAACCAACTTTTGCCTGACTTTTGAGATCCAATAATGCAAATAATATTTAGATTGTTTTGAATCTATTGCAACTTCTAACAGGCCAATTTGTTGAGAATGATCTCTAAAGTGTTGTTGAATCCATCAAAACTTAATAGTTAATAAATATCCATGAAGTTGAGATAATATTTGAATTTAAATTAATTATCAGACATACCAATTTTGAATAATATTAGTTGAACATATTCATGAATATTATTATTCATAATCATTTTGCTTATTTCCACTCTGGTTCATACTCTAAGTATTCCCGTTCAGAAGATCTAGAAAATAAAATATGTATTTACTCCATAACTATTCTTAATTTGAACTATTTGATAACAAATTGATTAGGTCTTGTTTAGATTATTTCTAAGATTAATAACAAACTCTTTATACTTTAATATTTTCTAGAATTGTACGATATTTTTTCTTATATACAAATCCCATATTTGAATCACATGATCTAATCCTGCTCTCAATATCTTCACTTATCCTCTTTGGAATGATTTAATCAGTATATTCTGATATCGTTTCAGATATTTTCTACACTACCTTGTTTTTTTGTAAAGGATTGGGAACATCCTGACTTTGTTTTCTGGGTTTCTTAGGTGATTAAGCTTATGTATATTTTTTTCTAATTATGGGTTTAGTAATAGGAATCTGTCTCTAATATTTCCCCTTTTTAACAGATTCTTCACTAGATTCATCCTCTTCGCTTTCTCCATCACTTTCTCCTGAATCTGAATCCTCACTGTCGTCTTCAGCTTTTAAATTAGTATTGAATATCGTACAATCCAAGATGAAATTCGGTTGATTTTACAGTTTCTCTAATAACTTTTGGGTGATCTTCTTTTAACCTGATACTTAATGGAGTTACTGGATGATTTCGGTTGGGTCAAAATACTGTAAAAAACTAGATTTTTCATTTCTGTATTACCGTTCTCAATACGATTGATTTTAATTTCTCAAGGAATTGTGTAAAATTCATTTAAGCTTAAGAGAGGTTCTTCTTATCCGTTAATCGTGCTTGTATCTGCATTAGCAATTTCCCATTGGGGCCCTACAAAACTTCCATTATGTCAGGTCTATCTAAATCAACAATCTGAATCAGCTATTATTTTTATTATTTATCATACACTTGATATTTTAGCTTCTATTAATACTGGGTTCAATTTAGTCTCGTTCATCATTTTCAATAACTCTTTAATCTCTGAACTAAAATTGTCAGGTTTCGTACTATCCTCCGAATCCATCTTAGATTTTCTAGATGATCCATATATTCCACTATGTTCCTCACTTGAAGATGATCTTGTTTTCTTTCTTCTACTGACTGTTTTAGTGAAATTCTTTTTCTTAGAGATTTTTTTTGATTCAACTTATATCAGAATTTAAATACTTTCATATGTTGATTGCCCTTTCAAAATCTAATCTGCTGCTGTGACCGAATCTTTGTGTTGCTTAGTTTTGATTTTTTGCACTATTTCCTCATACTTCTCCTGATATTTGGCAAGACTTTAAAAAGGTAATGTGGAACTTCTATTCAAAGGTTAATCATACTGTGAGTTATCTCCAATGAAATTTACAAGATATTTAGCAGGTTCCGATGACTATTTATCCTTTATCACTTCAGCGATAATTCCAGGCCACCAGGGGTCTAAAATAATGGATACCATTTACATCCTCTTATCTTTGCCCAGACTATCTCATCCTTACTGTAACTCTCAGGTATTTCAGAATCCATTTGGTATTGCAATTTCAAATATTTATATATATTAATATATTATTATATTATATCACCTATTAATCAAGCTTAATAATGCAATCTCACAACTTTTGCTTGTTCCTTAAAATATTTATTTCAAATACCTTGATCTAATTAATCAAATCAATACTTGGAGGACTGGCCAATTATGATATTTGTTATTAGTAATTTGTGTTTAAAAGAGTCTATAGTCTTTGATCATTGTTTTGTTAAAAAGAAAATTGAGGTAAAGCACTGCTGATTTAAACCAAATCCAATGGGTTTAATTGCTACTGTGATTGTCCACCCATATAGATTTTTGAAGTTCTTCGATCTATATTAAAGATGAACCACAAAAATACCTTACGTGGCTAACATATCTGTTCCATGCACCTCCTATATGCTAGATTTTGCGATCAACTTGCTTTACAAATATCCAGCGATCATTAATAATCTCAATATTTTTATGATTATAACAAATAATTAAACATTCAAAATAAATTTTGTGTGAATGTGCTGCTCTATCCTCCTTATTAAACTTGCTCATTTTGCTCTGTTTGCATTCCACTCCCACTCTATTGTTGCTGAGTCAAGGACCCAAACATAAATTACTAATTGGTCGGTGGGACATAGAGCTAGGTTAATTATCCTTCCCAATCTATTGGAAACTTTGTTATTCGAGGATTACTCCCCATTATTTGTCGATAAACTCTATCAATCAATACCACTTGTGGCTCATTTTCAATCAATTCTGCCTCAGTGTAGTTGTTATAGACATAATAACCAACTCTGAAAAACTCCTTCTACCTATATTTGGCGGTCAATATTAAGGCGGATACACTAAATAAATCCTCCTTTGATGGAATTAGTTAGTAATTTGGAGGTTGACTGGTTATTGTGAACTGCATTACTCCTCTTTACAAGGGGCCCATGCTAAAATTATCTAAGACTTAGTCAAATTTCTCACTCAACGGAGATCCAATATAAATTAAACTGATTTAATTTTAATTTCTTACTTCCATTCTATTTCATCAGTTAAATCATTAAGAACTTCAAAGGTTATTTGCATAGAGATGGGAGTTTGGAACAAAGCCAATTCATTTTCAAAGATTATGTTTGTTACTTCGACAAGCGCCATTTCAAATTTAAATATATTATATTATATTAATAATAAAAAGGAATTTAATATTTGTTCATACTAATAGTGTCTAATCACTCTCTAACTTTATTCCAATTATTTATATTAATTTATATAATAATCTTTTAATTTTCTATACAAATTTAAAGATTTCCATTCAAATTTCATGGTTATCAACTCACCCACACATTCCAAATTTAGAATTTTACATAATGCAGTTTAATCTTTTCAAAAGTAAATATTCTACTAATAAAAAACTTTTGGCCCTAATCTAAGTTGACTAATGGATGAGAATTCCAGAAATTATTTCTGCAATCAAAGCTATTGTCGATTTTACCTACTCATATCTTTGCTATCCTTATGTTTCAAATTCAATTTCTATTTATAAATTAATAATTTTTCACACGCTCATTATTTTTATTTTAAATACATTTTAAATTATTGTGATTGTGTGTTTCAAACTAATTTTGTAAATCAAGTATATTAATGTATCAGGACATGCTTTAAACTCTTTTTTTTTCTTAATCTTATCTTTTTTTCTTAGTGTTTCTATTTAAGTGTTACAGAAATAGATTATTAATTATGAAAATAAGAACTATTAATATTCTTACTTATAAGTATTAATAGTACTTCAAAATGGTAGAGATCTTTAATTTACTCTAAAATTGAATAACTTCTGTATTAATGAAGTAAATAATATTATAATATGCAGTTAATTAAAATCAAAATCGACTCAAGATTATAACTATAATGGTGATATTACTTTATTTTATCTTGGTTAATTAAAAGTGCTTTCTTCAGTTTCTAGATCCTTCTGTAATAAAGTAATAAAGGTTTCTAATTTCTTTTTCTTACGACCTTCGAGCTTACTAAGATACTATTAAGCGATTTTAATCCTTATTGCTTAATTTTAGTGTCCATTTGTAATTGCAATTCTTTCCTTACTAAGGAACGCTTCCAAATCCATGTCTTAATTTCGGACATCCTTTTCTAATGATGCAATTAGATCGAGCAATTATATAATTACTTCAGAATTTGATTTCGATTTGCAAACAGTATTTTTTTTAAATAAATCGAAAAGGTTTCGTTTTTTACTCGGAAATGCCTATTTGATTAGATTACCATTTGATGGTAATGGTTATTAGATTTATCTTTTTGGATTTATTTCGGTTTAATTAGGTTTGATATTCTCAAATTATGATCTTGTCCTTCTTAGTTTATCTTACTATTTAGGAAGATAGTACTTCCCCACTTTGGTATTTTCTTCTCCTTCCGTGGATTATTGACTTGAACTGGCAGGAGGCGGTTCTTGTTTTTACTCTATTTTTATTTCACTCTTGTATTCAACTTGTTTATTTTGTGGATTCTTTCCAGAGCAGCTTCTTTCTCTAAGAGTTGGAAGAGCAGACTTGTCAGTGGAATGATTTTATCGATGGGTTGAAAATTTGGGACTAAAGATTTCATTAAATACTGGATCAATGGGAATTTTCATTTAAGGTTTGATTAAAGGGTGAAGAAAGACTTCACTCCAACTGAACCTTTAGATTTCATCTTTATGTAAACATCCTTGAATAAAGCTGAGGGATTCTTTGGAGATTTTGGTATTTTTTGGGAAGGTCAATTTGCAGTTATTAATTCTGTAGATTAACTCCATATAATTGGTTGCCATCCATGGTAGAGTGCCAAATAGCATTTCATAGAAAATGAGTCCCAATGACCACACATCACATTTTGAGGTGTATTGTTATTTGGTTAGGATTTAAGGTGCCATGTAGAGAGGAGTACCTACAAGGGATTCCATTACGCATTCTGAGGGCAAGGGTCTCGAGAACCCAAAATCTCCTATTTTGCATTAACCATCATGTAGCATGATATTAGCTGGTTTAAGATCTCGATGAATAAAATTATTGCTCACTATTTCTTTAAGTCCATTAGCTATTTATTTTATCATTTTGATAGCTTGATTTTCTTCCAAAATCTTATTTTCTGACAAATACTATTTTAAATCAGGGCCATTGCAATATTCTTAGACCAGATAAGTATTATTTGTGGTAGAGTATACCTCATATAATTCAACAATGTTGGGATGCTTAAACTTCTTCATTATTTCTATTTCTTTTTGGAGAGTTGAATATAACTAAGTGTAGTTTTGGGTTTTAGAATGATCAATAACTTTAAGGGCTACTGGAAGCTCTAATATTAGAGTATATCATACAGGTGTTCATGTCTCTTCCGAAGTAGACTGTTCCATAAGAACCTCTACCCAAAATTGCCTTTAGACTGAAACCATAGTTGGATATCTTCTTTTCTGGTTTCATGTTCATAATTTCTTGTCTGTTCATTTTTAGTTATTTTATTTACTAGATAGACTTCAGGAAATTAAATTTGTGGCATCACTTAAAATTAAGTTCAAATTTTAATTATTAATCACTCCATATATGAATTAGTATTATGAATTGATTACATAATATAAATAAAGGTATTTAATATTAATTCTATATTCTAAGTATAATAACAATGGACTATTTTCCCTTCATTTAAACAAGCAATTTGGATCCAGCCTCTCTAAAACACGGGGTAATATTCATCGGAATGACGACAATTTTAGGTATAATTGCATTGCTATAAACCTTTTGTGAACATAAACATATCAATTTGCTTAGAGAGGCATCAGTCGCCATTATAATAGGATTGCTTATAGGAGTCATTACTGAATTTTAAGTTTTCTAGCAGGCAAGTTTTGAAAATTCATCAGAAATATTTTTCTTCGTTTTGCTGCCAATAATAGTTTTTAAGGAGGGGTACAATTTAAATAAGTAACACTTCATGAAGAACTTCTTTTATGTCATGTTGTATGGTATTTTCGGAACTATTTTTAATTTTATGATTTTGGCAACATTAACATCCACCTTAACAAATACATGTAACATTTTGTTTAATCTACCCTAGCTATATTTTGGGTGCCTCCTAATAGTACTAGCATAAATGATACTGCTAGTAATTCAGCATATGCTTAGGTTTTTTATTCATCTTGTATCACATCAAAGGATAGTGCTGTTTCCTTAAGTGTATTAGAATTTGAGCATGCACCTAAGCTACACAGTATTATTTTCGGTGAACAAATCTTAAATGATGTTGTAGTTTTTGCAATAAGTAAGACAGTCGAAAGATTTCATAACGAAAAAGGAGCGAAGAACAACGACTGGGAATGGTATAGTCCATTAATTTTCATTGGATGGATTCTAGCTAACTTAGTAGTAGGTTTAGTTGTAGGGGTTCTTGTAGGTAGTATAGCAACTTGGATAACAAAGGAATCCAGATTTTTATCTGAGTAATCCTCTGTCGTTACTGCCTTTACTATTTATATTGCTTACTTCTCATTCTGTGTTTGTGAAGCACTAGGATTTTGTGGAGTATTGGCTGTTTTACTATGTGGAATAATGTTATCACATTACTAAACTTATAATCTCCCAAAGATTTCTGCTACTTCTTCTAAAATAACAATCAAAGCACTAGCTTATATTAGCGAGACTATTATTTATTTTTATATCGGATATATGGTGACAGAAAATGCCATTGTTAAAAATTCAGATGATTATAATTTAAAATTTTAGGTTTATACATTTCTACTTGCTCAGTACTTTGTGTTTTCTCCTATAGCTAAATTGGCATCCATGTTGATGGCTCATGGTTTTGCAATCATGTAAGATTTATAAGTATTTCTTAATTAGTTTGAGAATGAAAACAAAAGGACCTTGGAGAATCAATAAGTATGAGTTCTTTATCCTCTTCTATTCAGGATTAATTAAAGGAGTGGTTGCCTATGCATTGATTTGCGAATAAGAAGTAGGAGGGGAAGACTATTACAAAATTATCTAAACTGCCTCCTTATACATGGTTGTGCTAACCACACTAATCAATGGTGGCACTTTGAAATACGTATGCGAATGGGCGTATAGACAAATGGAAAAAGACTCTTCAGTTTATTATTCAAGAACTTAATCAGCTCAATCATAAGCTATAAGATAAACATTTATTTAGGAGGATTAGGTTGATTATAAAAAACTCAAACATAAAAGTGAAAAGTTCTTTAAGGGTTTCGATGAGAAATATATTAAGCCCTTCCTTATCTATTAATACAATGAACGAAAAGCTGATATATTAGTGGCAAAGAAATTAGAAAAGAATAAGACCAAATATGAAAAAGAACAAGACTTTAAGATGTATGACGACAGTGTTAAGTAATAAAGAGAAGAGCTGGAACTACACAAACAAAAAAGAAACGAATTAACTCAAATTGATGTAGATCAATCCGATTCTGATGATGAATAAGATTAGCATTAGGAAAGCAATGGAAAAAAAAATACTCCTTCTTAAGGTGAACTATCTGAACTTAAATTAAGTAAGTAAAAAAATGGAGTTCATAAAGATGATTGAACCGATCATATTAAAGAAATAATTTAGTTTATACTTAATTAGTTATATATACAAAAAGATTTAATTATCAATAGACAGTGAGTTTGCAATCCTGTAATTCAGTAGATTCTTCCTTTTTAATTGAAAGTACTTTACAGTAATCAACATCGTCTGTACTCTAATTAAAAAATTCCAAAATTGATTTTAATGGTCTCTAATGAGTCACTAAAATAATGCATTAGTCATCTTCGATATTTTCCAATAAATTTTAAACGTAGTTCAAAATTCGATTATTTACATCTTCTAATTCTTCTGGGTATATACTATTCTATTTCAATTATTAATCTATTAATCTTATTCCAGAAAAGTAGGGATGAGTTGGATTCTTATTAATCATCAATCGAGGTAGTGGATTGCTTTCGAAGAAACATTGATATAAAGTTTCACAAATTTCGGTATTTATTGAAAGCTCTTCTTTTTCTATTTACCCTGCTATATTTTTAGCAGTCATTATGCATCTTAAGAAAGGAGAAGATTGAATGTTAATCTCTTTGTAGTCTTTTATCTCTTCGAGAATCAGTTTTCCTGCTTTTTTGGCTTATTCACACCCATTTGGTGTAAGATGAGGATCATCGGTGTTTATTACCTTTTTCCATTCTTTAGGACAAGAGTCAGCTCTTTCGCCATGCCTTACTAAAACTATCATTTTTTAATTTAATTAATGCATTTAATTCAACCCAAAATTGATATATATTGGTCAAAATCTGTTGTAAATCTAATTGTTATCATAAATAAAAAATTAATAATTTAAATGCCAAGAACAAATTAATAAGAAACTGGCAACATAAATGATTCAAAATTAATTCTGACAATTTTTGATTATTTATAAACGCAATATAAATAGTTATTAGGCATTTAATACAATATTAGTGTTTTTACTTTAAATGATACATTAAGTTTATATACTGTTTGCTGTTGAATATTTACTTTTAAGTTTTCTTCATGAATACTAGTTAATTGTCTTAGGCACTTTGGTTTAATCTCTATAATAGTTAGATTGAGTTTGTTACACAGAATATAGTAAAAAACAGTTTAGATTATAACTCTTTTACGCCTAAAATATACAAGGGACAATTTTAAATATTCATGATGGAATCCAACAATGTACTAACAAGATGAATAAGTAATAGTTTTCTTCATGGTTCTTTTTACTTATTTCTCTACACTAGTTCTAAATTTATTATTCTTCTCACTATATTATAAGGTATAATAATGAGAGATAATTTGAAGTGTGCTTAGTTAAATCGACAAGTTCAAAGATTCTACCACTTTGGACAATTTAAATTAATCTAAATATTTAGATCTGATTGATTGCATCTCAAATAGAATGTTTGGTGTGGTTCACTGTATTGAGTTGATTAGAGTTTACTTCAACATCGATTTCTCTGGGATGGAAATGGAAATTGAAGAATAATTCAAAAGACTATTCGTACTCACAGTTGATATGCTAGATTCAAGTCACTAAGATGTCTTGAATGAGAATTAATTATGTTTGAAATATACGTATTAGATATATGATACTTAATACATAATTCCAAATATATAAATATAGCAAATATTTTTCAACAATCATTTTTTCAAATGACTGAAATCGGGAATTACTTAATAGGTAATGGAACCCTGTATATTTGATTATAGGGAAGACCATTGGACAGGGCACTTTTAGCAAGGTTTGTTAGGCAATCAATCAAGTGATAGGTCATGAAGCAGCAGTAAAGGTACTTGAAAAGAAATGCATCAATTAAGAAGGAGATGTAGAGCGAGTGAAAAGAGAGATTCAAATATTAAAAGTTCTTCATCATCCTTAGATTGTGAAACTTTACGAGGTTAAAATTTAGCATAGAGTAATCCATAGGTAATTGAAACAGAAAACCATATCTATTTATTCATGGAGTATGCAAATGGTGGAGAACTGTTCGATTACATTGACAGAGTTAAATAGTAAGATCATTCATTTTAAATGAGTAGAGTAACAGAATATGAAGCATGCAAGTTCCTTCATTAAATCATTTCAGGACTAGAGTACATGCATAGTCTAAAGATTATCCATAGAGATTTAAAACCTGAGAACCTATTGTTAACTAATGATAGAGACATTCTCATCGCTGATTTTGGTTTAAGTAATCTTCAAAAGGATCTGCTAAAGACTTGTTGTGGAAGTCCTTGTTATGCAGCTCCTGAGATGATACAGGGAGAACCTTATGATGGACAAATGACAGACGTATGGAGTTGCGGGATTATTTTATTCGCTATGATATGTGGGTATTTGCCATTTGATGATCTAAACACACAGATTCTGTATTAGAAGATTACAAATGCTGAGTTCACTTTTCCAAAACACATCTCAATAGATGCCAAAGATCTCTTAAAGAGGATTTTAGTGGTTGATCCATAAAAAAGATATTCAATATAGTAAATAAAAAGACATAAGTGGTGGCAATTATGGAAAAGAGATGTCTAATATTTCGATATCATTAGAATCCGCCAATGTCAGTATTCAAGGCCAGATGTATTACAATTCCTTGTTAATTTTTACCAAATAGTCCTTATAATGAAGAAATACCAAATCTACCTAAATGTTCTCCCAGGAATATTAAATCCCCTTACGCAAGATCACCACTTACTAAGTCTCCCAACACTAAATCCACTACATCTAAAATATCCAATTGTACTTATAAATAGGTTTATGACAAAAGTAAAATGAGATTAACACCCTCTAAATCTTTGCATGAATCTACAAACAATAATAATTCTAAAAGTAACCACAATAATAATAATAATAATAATAATAATAATAATAATAACAATAACAAATAAAATATCTTTATTAAATAATAGAACCAATATGCTTTTTATAATAAACATAAGAAATAACCTTCTGGATAATACTCAACTTTAATGAAATAAACCAAGTTCTAAAAAGTTGTTTAGAGTATGCATGAAAATAGAAATTAAAAATTGCTTTCTAGTGCAACTCCCCATAAGCCTTCTATCAAACATTTTTATTCCCATACCAGAAAAGTTAGCGATTTAGTGAGATCTAAATTTCAAAACACCTTAAAAATTGATGATTCTTAATCCACTAAAAATATACTTTAAAAATTGACTTCCGGTTTGAACAGTCTCATAAATTCTCCTCGACAACCAACTAATATTCGAGGAATTGAGTAACACAATGGTCCCTATCATTTATCTTTGATAACCAAGAAGCATCCCCAATTATTCATAGATATGATCCATAACTATTTGAAAATGCATTTTGCAATAATTTCTTATGAGAATTATTCAATCACATTAAAATTGGATGGTGACCAATTATTTGTGGTGAAATTGAAAAGAATCGAATAAATAGATGTGTATTATTTAGATGTCATCCAATAACATTATAATTTTGCTGAACTCCAATAATTTGTCTAAGATTTACAATTGCACATCAAATTTTGAAAATTACAACTACGAAAATATTATAATGACATCATTTAAAGATATTTTATTTATATACTATCGATTAATATTCTTTAATGAATTACTGTAATCTCTTATCTCTTTATTTCAGCGACCTTGTTACAATTACATTTCTTTATTGTTTTAACCTTATAAATTTTCTTGAAATTTTTTAATTTAAACATTATGTTTAAAATTACATAGACTCAAATTTTGGAATGGGTTAAGGATGGTAATACTGAAACCCTGCGCATATTTTTCGAATAATGTCTACAATAAAATCAGGATGGTTTGAATTCTTTTTTCAAAATGGTTGACAAGGAAAAACGGAATGTAGTCCATTGGGCAGCTTATTTAGGTTAATTAAGCTTGCTAGAGAAATGGCTTTAATCGCATTCCTAAATTATTGACCTCAATCAAGTGGATCTTCATCACTACACAGCAGTCGAACTTGCTAGCATAAAAGGGTAAGTCATATTATTTCTATGCAAAGTTTTATGAAGGAATATAATTCTTAAGTTTAGTTTAGATTAATTAAGTTGCTTTTGGATCATAAAGCCAAAATGCCCACAGAGCACAAATATTAACGAGCCAACCCTTTGCATTGGGCATATTACTACGGAAACTCAGAATTAATTGATTTCCTCTTGTCTAATTACGCAGATCTTCAATATTAATTGGATTAATTTGATATGTATCCAATAGATTACTTGTTTCTAGAAAATCGACCAGATGATTATCAGTAATTGCGATTCAAAATTATTATAGGAAAAAATATAAAGGCATTTTTATTAAAACTGTCTAAGAATATGCCTTAAAAAAAGATGGGCACCAGTTCAAATTGCTTAGGAATCTCAATACTCAAAGAACCATTGCATAACTATCTGTATCCTAGAAATCGAATAATTTGGAAAACCCAGTTATGATCAATGAGCCCCAATTAAAGGAACCGCCGAATGAATTAGATAGTATTGATTAAGAAAAAATCAATTTACATCTACAATGTGGATAAACAGCTATGACATTAATGTCTAAAGTTTAATAAACTGGTACAGCTATTTAGAAGAGAGATTCAATCAGTTCTAGGATTAGTTAATAGTTTAAGTTGATTTAGGAGAGAATGAAGAAATTACCTAATAAGAATGTGCAGAATGAGTTACCTTTTGAAGATTCATAATAGGATTTTCATGAACCAGATGCTGAAAAGATTCCCTCATTGAAAATCATTTAACCAACTAACACACTCTTCTCAGATCCACATTGTAACATTACGGATAAAAATGAAAATCCAAATATTTATTAAACTGATTTAGAAAGTGAAAGAAATCAATAGAGACTCTTCTTATAATAGGAAGATGAATTTGGTAAACTATTTAAGTCTAACATCATACCTTCTAGATCAGAACAATCAAAATATTTGGCTTCTCAATATCAATAATCACAAGTTCCTTCGTAATTTGGAAGACAACTCTCCCAAGAAATTCAATTATCATAGGAGGAATTTAGACCTTCAATAAAGGATTTTTCAAGAGTAAAATCGATGAGACCCTCGCTTAAGAGACCAGGACAAAAGTTGTTTAAAAGAAAAAGCACAACTTTTAATGAAACTTATACTATTTTTCATTATGCAAAAAGTTAAACTAGGAAATAATTATTTGAATGTAGATTACAATTTTGGTCAGCAAGAATAGAGTCAACCGAATTTTTTGTATATTTTTTAAAGTAGAAATGCAATCCATTTTTAATTTAATATTAAGGATTCAATTGTCTTCATATTGCAGCTAATAAAGGGAAATACCAAATTCTGAAACATATTTTGGAGAGTGACTATGAGTATTAGGAATTAAAAGACCTTTTAAAATTACACAGATCAATAACTTAAGGTTAATTTACTAAGACATATGTTAAGAAAGACATTTTTAATAAGGTAAATTTCATTAAAACCATTTTAGGTGGAGGCATTTAATATAATGACCGATTAGAATCCCTCTAATGCGTTACATTTGGCAATTGAAATTAATAATTTCGAATGCATGAAGATATTGGTAGAACATGGTATTTCAATGGATGTCTTGAATCATCGATGTTTGATGCCAATAGAACTGACATTCGATGAAAAGATGGTAAAATACTATGAGAATCACTATCTTAAAGGGAAGGAGTAAAGCTTTAATTTTATGGGATACATGTATGTGATTCAAACTTCAGGGAGCCATGATCTATGTTAAGATATTGTACTATTGTAATTGTAGAATATCAGACAGTCTTTCTAATAGCGAAACATGGAATTTGAATTTCTCATAATAAATACTCCCAATTATGCTTATTTGAAAAATGGAAAAGAGCATTGCGTGAGGCATCATTATTATGTAATCAAATTGTCAGCAGACACTATCTACAAGTTAGCAGATATCTATTAGATTGAATGCTATCATTTCACAAAGAAGGTAAAATTTCATTTAACTTAAGCATTTGACAAAATTTAAATATAGAGATTATGGCCATTTCGAATTTCCCAAACCATTGTAAATTCAGTAACTGATCATTAATGTTTTAAATGAAGAGTTCGATTTAGATAAGTTTGTCTTAGAGGGATTGGTGATTTCACACTTCCCTTTGGAAGACAGTTCGAAGTCATAAAAAGTAAATGTGTTATGGAAGGAGCTTCAATACAATTGTATTCGAGATACCATCAGGATATAGACTCATTAGATCGCACTGAGACCTTTGAACTCAATAGCATCCTATTATGGACCTGTTATTGCGTGGTACATAGCGTTTAATGTTCAAATAGTAGGTTGGCTAATATTGCCGGCTTTGGTAGGATCAGCAATCTAATTATATTAATTGATTGCTGATAAGATGCAGTAATATATCGAAATATCAAAGTGCCTCTATCTTACCTTCATTTGCGTTGTTCATGTCTCTATGGGCTACTCTCTTTATGGAGAAGTGGAAGAACCGAGAATCAGAACTGAAATACATTTGGGATATGCACAAGTTTAAGTAGCAGGAACCTTAGAGAGTCATGTATACAGGACTTTATACGGTTGAACCATGCAAAAACAAGGTTGAAGTGTATGATTCATTTACAACTTTTAAGAGAAGATCGATTGCTGAAATTTCTGTAATAATGTTAGGGTTCTCGATAATATTAGTAAGTTTTCTGGCATTCAATTAATGGCAGGGATAATAGGATCCTTAAAGTGTTTATATGCCTATAATAATCAATTCATTGAATGGGGTTAGCATGACTGTTTTGTGTGATTTATATAAACGACTATGTAAATTTGTGGTAAATTGGGAGAACCACAGATATAATTCTGAAATGGAGCATTCTTATGTGTTAAAAGTGTTTTTATTTGAATTTTTAATATCCTACATTTCAGTAGTTTATGCTGTGTTATTTAAAACAGACTAGACATAATTAACATTGTCTGTGGCAAGTATTATTATAACAAGAGGTTTGATTTCTAACTTATAAAGTAATTGTCTACCCTATCTCCTGTATAACTACTTGAAGTGGGGACTAAAAGATAAATTTGAAACCTTCAAAGTATTCAAGGAATAATTCAAGATTTGTGATATGTAGTATGTGAAGGAGAAATTGAAATAGGCTTAGCAGATTGAATTTATGAAGATGATGGAGGACAGTAACAACAAATAGCCATAAAAAGAACTATATGAGGAATACACAAATATTGCTATTCAATTTGGATACACAACTATGTTTTCACCTGCATTTGCAGCTGCTCCATTGTTCTTTCTGTTGAATCAATTTATAAACTTGCAATTTTCAATTTCAAATTATCAGAGAGTTTTAAAAAGAGAAGTAAGATTTTAAAATACTAAAGAGAGCATAAGCTGCTGACTCCATTGGGATTTGGTTGTCCATTTTCGAACTAATGAATTATTGTTCCACCTTTATGAATTGCCTTGTCATAGGGATAGTGAATAAGGCTGAGTTCGAACGATTGATAGGGGATAGCAATCCTCTGATTTAAGTGTTAGTATTGGCAGCTATCGAGCATATATTATTATTAATAAAGTACATATTAGGGATAATGATTCCGGATTGTCCTTATTGGGTTTCAAAAGAGTTAAGAAAGTATGCATATTTTGAGGGATAGAGTGCTAAAATTCATGATGATAGCGAGATTATTTTTTGATTTTAATTGAATTTTTTTTGTATATAATGAAAAGGAGAAGTGTAGCCATTTCTAGTTTATCAGGGTCTCCGAAACGTCAACTTTCATAGATGAGCATACATGGTATCACGTATGTATTTATAAGATTTCCCGAATTTGGAACTGTTATCCTAAAATTATGAAGATGAACAATTAGGAATTATGTTATCTGAAAGTGTTATTGTTAGTAGATTCATCTGTCGATAAATCATTTAGAAGGCAAGTGACATTATTTAGGAGAACTATGTAATGAGTTTATTGATTCCTTTTGGCTGTTAATGGACAGAACAATTCACCAATATGATTGTCTAAGATATCACTGAGGACATGAATTAGATCGACTCAAATTCGGATGAGATTGAACCTAAACCATGTCCAATAGAACATTGGAGAAGAATGATTGGCTAGATTTAGATTCCAAAAATGATTCAGATTGAAAACAGATCTTTCAGAAGGGAATCCAAATTGTAAGGTACTGAAGTTGCAAAGGAGGATGTCCAGAGATTCGATACTCAACCAGTCAAGATGGGAGATTTGGATGACGACATAGACTTCGATACAGAGATAGAATCTATGCGTCAGGCTAAGGCTAGATAGATATTTAATTTGCAATAAAAGCAGATGCAAGATCTAATTAAAAAGCAAGAGTACCAAGAGATGAATAGGCAACTTAAGAGATTAAATGTTGATTCGAAATGTATTAATCAACTTACGTAGCCAAATACACTTACGATTTTGAGGGTAGAGTGATAGTTCAGAAGCCGCCTGATGTTGAACGCTATCCAAGGACTTATCAAGATATCCAAGAAAAAAGAGTGCTATTAGAAGTTAAAGACCTCTTCCCTCATCATAAAAAATAATTAGAATCAATCAATAATCACAAAAAGAAAACTATCGAACAATGTAACCCTTCAACTTTATCTAATCGTTTTAGCACATCATAAATTGATATTATATAATTAAAATAGGGAGTCGCATTCATAGAAGGCAAAAATGAAAAAAGAAATGATCGTCAACATTCCTTGGTTGAAATCAAAGATCCTAAGGAATTGCACAAGACTCTATCCTAAATCCATCTTAAAATGAGCAAAGAAGAGTATTCAATCATCACTAATCAACCCTTGCAATCCAGTTTCACCACTAAACAGTTGAATCTCACACAAAATAAAGCTTAATTATCTCAGCAAGCCCAATATTCTAATCCTCAGAATGTCCCTCTGTCCATTAATGGAGATCAAAGCATTCAATCTCTTAACTCCTCTATTTTGCAAAAACTTAATGGAACCATTTCAATCATTTCAGATCACTACGATGAATTGATAATACATGATCCCTCCGCTTTGATTACACCTACCACTACCAAATTGCCATAAATATAATAACCACTCTAACCCCAATAGAGTGTACCATAAATTCCATAGCATTTGCTTACAGAACCAACTGCACATCCATTATCCAATTCTGTTACTAAACTACCCAAAACCATGTATGTTCCAGGCACATTTTCAAAGATCATTCCAAAATACCCTAGAGAAAGAATTTCGCGAATTGTTAAACAAATAAAGTATTGATATTTCAATTCATTCAATCATTCAAAAACTTCATATTGTAGTTATTTAATCTTCAAATTTAAATACTTATTGATTGGTATTAATAATTAGAAAACAAATGAAACAATTTCATAAATTGAAAAATATTAGTTCCCCCTTTTTACAGTTTAGATAATATTAATACTATCTCCAATTAGGACTATTTATTCACTTTGATAATTTCAGTTTTTATTTTTTTATTGATTGAAAGTTGCCAGCACATTAAATATGTTATTTTATTATATTAAGAATTTACTAATAATAATTACTTCAAAAAACTAGGAAAAGATTTAGGGATAGATATTCATATATTTTCTTGATTGATATTTTCTTCTTAATTAGTTTAATTATATCGATGAAATCTAGCAGTGCTCATTCATGGTTTGAATCCTGAATTTCATCAATATAATTATAAGTTTTTAAAATAGAATTAAAATTAGAAATTAATTTGATCCATGTATTTATATTAATATCATTCCTCAATTAGAAAAAAATTAAAATATTAAAAAGATTACCACTATCCTAAATTGTTAAGTTTCTAAATATAATAAATATAAGAGGACTAATTCTACTTTTTTTATCTTCAGGTTGGAAATTTATTTAGTAAAGATTCCAATAGCTAAACTAATTATTATATATAAATTATTTATGACTTTGTTTATATATTCATGAATATAATGATGAATTATTTATAGAAACATTGCAATTATGTGAAAACTTAAATAAAAAAAAACGTATTTTCAAAATAAAGATATTAACATACCAACGGTAATAAGAAAAATGATATTAGTAGAAAATACAAATCTACTTTTTAAGTGAGTGTGATAAGTTCCAATTCATTATTTTAGTTTATAGAATAATTTAGATAGAGTATTTTATTCACCTTATTAATTTTATTCTTTCTTTGAATATTTGTTTACTTTGTTTTATAGTCCAGATCTTTTAGAAATTGACTTGTAAATATGAATAATACCCCTTTATTTCATACTTTTTAAATTATTCGTCTTAAATTTATCATAATATTATAATATATTCTAAATCTCTCTGGCTATAACATTCTCATAAACAAATATATACTTAAAATCATCAACTTAAAATGATTCTTAATTGATTTACTTTTTGTAAGCAGCTTTTCATTCGTTTAATACTGAATACTATTAATTGTTCCACCAATAACAGGCAATTAAAATGAAAGAAATATTCTTTTAAGATAATTTTTTCTTAAACATTCTTATTTATCAAATTTAATATATATACATAACATTTCTTATAGGATTGATAAAATAAATTTAAATCTTAAAAATGAGCATAAATAAATGATTTGAAATATCAATACAAACAAAGACTAAAATACAACAAAAATAATTCACATAATTTATCTCCAAAGTCCAAATAAAGAGTCATTTTTAATTATTCAACTTAAGATTTTTTCTATTATTAAAATAACCTATAACAAATTCAATTATAAAAAATAGAGACTTTTTTAGAAGACTTATTGTTGTCTGACATCATTTTTCATCAAGAGTCTTACTTCAATCAAAGTAGACAGTTTTTTTGTGAATTTGATTCTTAATTANATTACTTCAAAAAACTAGGAAAAGATTTAGGGATAGATATTCATATATTTTCTTGATTGATATTTTCTTCTTAATTAGTTTAATTATATCGATGAAATCTAGCAGTGCTCATTCATGGTTTGAATCCTGAATTTCATCAATATAATTATAAGTTTTTAAAATAGAATTAAAATTAGAAATTAATTTGATCCATGTATTTATATTAATATCATTCCTCAATTAGAAAAAAATTAAAATATTAAAAAGATTACCACTATCCTAAATTGTTAAGTTTCTAAATATAATAAATATAAGAGGACTAATTCTACTTTTTTTATCTTCAGGTTGGAAATTTATTTAGTAAAGATTCCAATAGCTAAACTAATTATTATATATAAATTATTTATGACTTTGTTTATATATTCATGAATATAATGATGAATTATTTATAGAAACATTGCAATTATGTGAAAACTTAAATAAAAAAAAACGTATTTTCAAAATAAAGATATTAACATACCAACGGTAATAAGAAAAATGATATTAGTAGAAAATACAAATCTACTTTTTAAGTGAGTGTGATAAGTTCCAATTCATTATTTTAGTTTATAGAATAATTTAGATAGAGTATTTTATTCACCTTATTAATTTTATTCTTTCTTTGAATATTTGTTTACTTTGTTTTATAGTCCAGATCTTTTAGAAATTGACTTGTAAATATGAATAATACCCCTTTATTTCATACTTTTTAAATTATTCGTCTTAAATTTATCATAATATTATAATATATTCTAAATCTCTCTGGCTATAACATTCTCATAAACAAATATATACTTAAAATCATCAACTTAAAATGATTCTTAATTGATTTACTTTTTGTAAGCAGCTTTTCATTCGTTTAATACTGAATACTATTAATTGTTCCACCAATAACAGGCAATTAAAATGAAAGAAATATTCTTTTAAGATAATTTTTTCTTAAACATTCTTATTTATCAAATTTAATATATATACATAACATTTCTTATAGGATTGATAAAATAAATTTAAATCTTAAAAATGAGCATAAATAAATGATTTGAAATATCAATACAAACAAAGACTAAAATACAACAAAAATAATTCACATAATTTATCTCCAAAGTCCAAATAAAGAGTCATTTTTAATTATTCAACTTAAGATTTTTTCTATTATTAAAATAACCTATAACAAATTCAATTATAAAAAATAGAGACTTTTTTAGAAGACTTATTGTTGTCTGACATCATTTTTCATCAAGAGTCTTACTTCAATCAAAGTAGACAGTTTTTTTGTGAATTTGATTCTTAATTAATTTCAATTGCTTTTTTATATTTTATTTATTTCGTTTTTAAATTAGAAAAAACTAACCAAAACTAAAAAGTCATGAAAAATACTCAAGATAAAGATATAGGTCTAAATGTAGTGTATTTAATACAGTAACATAAGTATTTATATTAAATTAAAAATGTAGTTTGTCATCAGATAGAAAGAAGGTGACTCTTGATTAATTCCATCTTCTAAGTGTCATTGGAAAAGGGTCTATAGGAAAGGTTGTACTTGTAAGAAAGAAAGACAATTAAAAAACATATGCTCTTAAAGTCATAAAAAAAACCTAATTGATAGATAATCATTAGGTGAAGTAAATCTATGCTGAAAGAAACATTCTTGTATAGATAATAGAATTTATTATTTTAGGAAAACTGCCATCATCCGTTCATTATAAAACTAGAATACGCATTCTAAAATGAGACCAAGTTATACTTCTGCTTACAATATTGTCCAGGAGGGGAACTATACAACTTATTAGTTTAAAAAAGCAAATTAACTGAAGAATAGTAATTATGATATTGATAATAAAAGAGCTAAGTTCTATGCATCCCAAATAGTCATGGCCTTCCAATACTTGCATGAATAAGATATAATTTATAGAGAGTATATTTAACTATTTAAATTAGTTTAAAGCCAGAGAATGTGTTGATTGATTCAGAAGGCTATATAAAGTTAACTGACTTTGGGTTCTCCAAATAAGGAATTTAGGGTAATTTTGGAGCTCATTCAAAATGTGGAACAGCTGAATATTTGGCTCCAGAATTATTAGCAGGCAACCATGGCAAAGCAGCTGATTGGTGGACCTTGGGAACTCTAATATATGAAATGGTCATTGGATAACCTGCATTTTTTGCAGAAACCAAAGAAGAATTATTTAATTAAATTCTTCATCAAGAAATAAATTACAAAAAAATGGGTGTCTCATCTCAATTAAAAGATTTATTATCAAAACTATTGTAAAAGGATCCAAATTCTAGAATTAGTTCGGCCAATGAAGTAAACATTTTTTATAATTTAAAATTAGATTAAAATACATCCCTGGTTCAAAAATGTAGATTGGGATATGGTTTTATAAAAATAAATACCTCCTGTGTTTTTACCTCAATTAAACAGTGATGATGATGTTTAATATTTTGATGATGTATTGAAATTTCTCCTAAAGTTTAGTGTTTCCTCAAAGAACCTATCTTTTCCTAAACCAATTCATTATCTACGGAAGAATAAATGAATAGTCCATATTAAGGATTTTCGTATTCTGCATCCCCACCGCAAAAAGAAGAATAATGGGAATTTTGATTCTTTACTTTAATTAATTAAATTGTATTATTTTTAAAAGTAAATTATACATATAAATATACAATTCATTTTTTCTTTTTTGATGGATTCTTAGATACACTCTACACCAAATCATAAAGCATTTTGTATTTTTGTTCAATCTACTCGATGCTGTTTTTTCGCTTTCCAAGTTCCATATATCCACATTGAGAATTAGGAGTTATTGTAGTTTCTGTAGCTTAATGGGTTGGAGTAACACTTTTGATATATTTAGGAGCATCGAATTTCAATTAAATTTCAAGCAGTTATTTTAAATCAGTTTATGAATGAATCATTTATGTAGAATTAGATCGTTGCATTTGCATTTTACTGGAGCTATTTTTTATATCATGATTGTTAAAATCAATCATCGAATTTCTCATTTGCTATTTCTTTCTATTCATTTTATTTTGCCATTGCAGATTTCTATAATAAACATCACAACTATTGATTCTAACATTACTGTTGTCTCTATAATTTGGACTGAATGTGCACTACAATGTAATTGAATATTTACTTCTCTAGTTGCTTTCTCTTTTTAGATTTCTACTTACTATGATATTTTATCATTCTTCTTTCTCATCCATGAATTTTGTCTATCAAAAAAATTACTTGAATTGATTATCTTAGATTTCTGATTGATCTTCGGATTAAAGGTACATTCCTTCATCTCCTTTACATTATTCATTATTTGGCCTTTCTCGATGAAAGTCTTTAACTTTTCTTGCTAGAATATTGCTTTCTGATACAGATAATCTTATTAGGTGGATATATTGCATTTTGTTTATGAAGTATTGTGAGTATTTATGCTTGTGTGTGAATTTTTTCTAATATTGTTTGATGTCTGTGGTTAGTTGTTCTTGGTGATTTCTTTCGATATTAAATCGCTTAATCTATTTAAATGGTAATTATTTTTCGAAAGGTGATTAATCTTGTTCTCTTTTTCTTGAGTTGGTTTTTTTATGTATTTATTTAGTTGATTAAGATCCTAGGATTGTAAGGTTTACATTGGCTTTAACTATTTTGGAAAGAATTGTTGATTTTATGCAGTTTCACAGATTTATTTTCTCTCACTCGAAAGGGCATCTGAAAAATCAGGTGTAGGATCATCTGGAGCTAAAGAACTTCTAAATGCCAATAACTATTTGGAACTTGATATCATAATATCAATTGAATACTTCTAAATAAACGAGAAATTTTGAGATCCCATAAATTCATTTTATGGAGGATGTTTTACAACCTATTCCATATGAACTTCAGACACGTTTGATGGATTGTCATGATTATTTGTAGTGATTTTTTTAACGTCTATCAGATCACTTTTCTTTTCACATCCAATGTTCCGTATTTTTTTTAAACTTAAAAGAGCCTCTTAAGCTTATGGAGATAAATGCTAAAATGATTCGCACTTACTTATGGTATGAGCAGATGAAGTATGAATTTGCATCCAACGTATTAACAAATTAATTTTATAATTAGAAGTAAGTTTTTGATTAACTGCAAATAGTATATATAAAATTGATATGTTATTATCATTATTTTTTTGCCTTGTCCATTTGATACTATAGTTCATCTAATTAGCGTTGAAGATCTTCCAATTCATGCATTGGAACAGATTCAGATGCATCATCATCTTCCTTCTAATCAGTTTAATCTACAAATCAATTTTTAATATTACTTTAATTATTAAATCCCTTCTTGGTTTGTTTATTAGATTGTTTCATTGTTTTTGATGCCCCTTTCTATTGATTGTTCTTAACTTTAATGGTTTATTGTTGATTATTTGCATTGTTTTTCTTTCCAGAAGAATAGATGATACCAGTCTCTTTGGCTAATTATTGTTTCATCTATTGTGCCTCCTCTTAATACTTAGCCAATTCTTCTGGAGATTTATTTTCATTTTATTTTTCCACTTGAGTTTTCTCACAATCTTTTACTTTTTTAGTTAAAATTTTGATGTCATTCTTGAACCCTTCGATTTCTAGAGATCTTCTCTTTTCCAATTATTAATATCTAATTTATGATGAAAATAATACTTCTCAATTAATTTGGATAGATTCTCTTCCAATTATTAGATTTTGTTTATATAAATATTCTAAACTTATTCATATTGTTCTTTGATGATTGACAATTGCTCATCTTTAGATTTGATTTGACTTCTAAATTTTTTATTGTATTCGTCAGACTTCTTTTCAAGCAATTCCAAGGCTGTTTTATTTTCAATATTGTATTTCTTTTAAATTTAATCCAACTCCATCTTCAATTTCTTGTTTTTCAACTTTGCTACTTCCAAATCCTCTTACAATTACTTCTCCTTATTCTAAAATTTTTATTTTTATGCATAACAATCTATAATTCGTTATATTCATGGATTTATACCTTTAACAAGTTCAACATTTTGCTTCTCTAATTTCTATATTTTTTAAACCAATTAATCTAACTTTTATTAGTCCTCTTTTATTCTTAAATTGGTTTCAACTTCCTTTGCTCTCAATTCCTCTCTCAAAGCTGCGAATTATTGGGTCAACATAGTTTCTGCATTTTCAACTTATTTTTTCAAATTTTCATTCTCCAATTAATAGGCATTCAACTATTCGTTTGGCATATAAACTGTTTTTAATATGCTTCTCCCTTAATTGATATTGTGCATCTTAACACTACATAGCTTAATTCATTCAATTTACTTTCCTTGCTTCTCTCTTACAGCCAATGTATCGCCTGTATATTTTGTAGTTACTTCAGGTCTTAAATCTTTTTATAATACTACTTATTCCTCAATGGGTTCAATCATAGCCATTAATTCAGCAATCTTCTTTTTGTCTTCCAACTCTCTCACTTTCAGCGCATCATTCTCCTTTTACAACTTCAATCGGGCCTGTCTCTCTTCAAATAGCATTAACTAAATTCTTGAATTCGGTATAATTACTTTTGCCTCTCCCACTGTTTACTACAACTCTTTAATCTCTTATTTCCTTTTCAGCAATTCCCATTCCTGTTGGTGCTTGTCCTCATATTGAATTTTGATTTCCTCCAATTTTGTCAACCATTCAAATCTTTCCTTCTCAAATTCTCCCAATTTAGATCTATAATAAGCCAATAAGTCTTAATATTGTTGGGGATCGTTAGGATTGATTGAAATCAAATTACTCAGATCTCGTTAACTCATTTTATAAACGTTAATTATTTTTTTGATTTTTATATAATACAAACAATTTATACTAAAAAATACTTATTCATTATTTAATTTTGATGCCAAACTCCTCAGACAACTTACTAATCTCCTTCTTCGAATTCTTATTATTAATATGCAAACTCTACAAATCACTCTCCGATATTTATTAGCAATTGATTAATGAATTTAATTCATCTGGCTTAAAATTATTGATGTCATAATTGATAAAACTGTCCCCCAGAGCCTTTTCCGAATCCTTAACTATCAATTCTGATATCTTCAACTAATTTCCTTACGATGGAGCTTCAGAATTGCTTAATTGATTAAAAGTGGACTTACCCTGGATGAACAGTCCAAAATCCGCTCTACTTTTTATTTGATTTTGATCAGGGATAACAGAATCTTCACTGCTTTTTTCTTTGCTAACACCTTAGAATTCCTTCTCATTATCACTATCATCAGATTCATATTATCTAATATGATTTATAGAGTACTTACAATAACTATTATTTTTGTATCTTCGTGCAACATTCTTCAAATGGAAATTCGTATTCGCCGACTGTCTAATACTTCAGTTTATTTCTAAAGTGTTCAGCATCAACAGTATAATAGTTAATTATCATTCCTAAAAACCAATTGCTTTTAATAAATACTTCTGATCAATTCTGCAATGCCAATGTATAAAATAAGAAGACTGTGCTATTCAGTCTTGTCCAAGCATCCAAAGATTGAAGATGAGATGGATACTGGCTAAATAATTCCGAAAGGAATGTACAGTAATATTAATTTTTATTTATAAGAGATCTATCGTTTTTTCCTCTTTATTTTTATATCCAAATAGCTCCACTTCTTAATAGCAAAAATTATATTTAGAAAGCCAATAGCAACTGCCATTCCTAACCAGTAAAAGAAAAAGTTAGGTTCCTAATACGATAAAGTGGCAAAAATTATCAGAGCAATCGATAATATATTTCTTATGAATTCTATGGAATACAGTTTAATGTAGGATTATTTTTGGGTTAGGAATATAATTTATATTATTAGAATGAAGTATGGGAATAGCACTAAAGCTAAAGTGAAATATCTAGAAATAAAAAAGCATTCATCATATTAATCGTTGTCATTCTCTTCTTGATTGTTAATCTATATATAATTAATCAAAAATTTACTCCTTTCGAATATTCACATATCGTATATGTTAGGTCGGTAAAGGGGATGATTAAAGAAGTAAATTGACTGATTATGAAAAAATGACGCTATTCTATCAGCTTAGGATTTAGGGATTGCCATAAATTACGATATAGCCACATCCTACCTTTTCCATTGATGAAGATTTTTGAAGGGAATGCCACTGTTGCTAAAAGGGAAGCCCAGATTACCAATGGAAAATACTCTTCTCCTTTAAGATTCGAAAATATGACACCCAATTTAGAAACATCGCATAAATAAAACAAGCTAACTAATAAAAAGATTGAGGTCAAAGTCATCACTCGTTTTAATTATTCGTTGATTGTCGAGAAATGATGATTAAAGCTAAAATATAGTTTATAATTGATCTTGGATAAATTCCATAGGTGAATAACTATGGTTAAGGACCAATAATATAGGATAAACAATAAGGCGCCTCTGTATATAGGGAATGATTCATATATAAGAGTGTTGGTTAAAATGTCTAACTATTTTTGAGTTGCTAGGAATATTATGAAAGACATTAACATTAAAGAAAAGCCAGTGAATAAGCCAAACTAAAACCAAGCTTTGTTGTTCTTGCCATTCTAAAATTGATATTTACGTAGTTATTCTTTGCAAATCTTTTATTTAGCTTGATAGAAGTGTTTTAGAAGGTATTTCTCTACTTGAAATAGCAATTATTTAACTTTATTTTATCTCAAATCAAAATTTATTTCTGATACCAATTTCTTGCATTCATCAATATTAATTTGCTCCTAATTGAGCTTTATAGATTTCTTATTCTATTTCTTTATGATTTTACGAATAGCCTCTTGATTTATTGCTAAATACTTTTCAAAGTTGACCCCTTCATTATATAATTGAAAACACAATTCTTTCAATTTCTTACATTTTTGATTAAAATCAGATTCTCGGATCTTGATCTATTGATTAGTTAATTATTCAGTTAACTCTTCCGATACCTAAGAGTTTGATCTGATTAATGATAGCTTCTTGCTTCTCTCGAGTTGCCTCTGATATCTATTCATTGACAATATTTATAATTGCAATTTATAAGTCTTTCCCTTCAAATCGTTATATTTTGCATTCACAAAGGATCTGATTTTCATCAACTCTTAAGTAAACTTTTTATTAAATTCCTTCTAATCAACAGTTATTTTGGAAATTATATATGTTTTTTCCATAACAATTTTCTTTACTTCCTTGTACTCCTAAGGAGTTTTTGTTTTCTTGGCATACAATAAGAAGTCTTTGAGTGCTCCTGAGGTTGATAGATACGCTTTTACGGCCTTGTAATTCAAATACATTAATGCCCATTCTGGTATAATATGATTTAATAAGAATACAGCGAATTTCATTTAATTATTATTTAATCGTTAAAACAAATTTACATATGAAGCCCTCGCGCATACCTGTAAGAGCCTTTGGTAATGCAGTATACCAATAGCCAATCGAATAACGTCAATTACGACCTTCTTCCACTTAGCAAACTATGGAACCAAGACAAATAATGAGATGCGTCTCATAAGAATAAAAATTGCCTTACCAACCTTTACAATACGTCCAATACCCTCAGTAAAGGTAAATCACTCAATTTATGGTAACTTAGAGGTTCCAACCCCCCAATTAGAAAACCCCTTTAGGAGACTGTTGCTTATTATCCATAATAGTAATAATATTAATAGTGTGTGCCTTTGAAAACTGAACAACAGAACAAGACATCCTTAATTTAGGAACTCAGCAAGGTTCAATCTTAAGCTCAATTGAATTTAGCATAACAAGATGACACTAATCAGTCAGCGATCATTAAACAATAAAATGAACAAATTTAATAATTGCAAACTCAGTTATCAGAGAAAGTTCATTAATATTAATAATTGCAAGAAAGATTTAATGTGGAATTCAGAAAGTTTTAGGAAGATATCAGATATAAGTTAACTAATATTGATTTGAATATCTCTTAGAATGATTACACACAACAGTTTATGTTGGAAATTGATAGGAAAGTCTCTAATCTGTAAAGTAATCTAAATGAACAGTTTAAGGAATTGTAAGATAATTTTGAATAAAAGACTAAATAGAGTGAACACCTAGTTAAGAATCTATCTTCCAATATTTCCTTAAGATTGAATGAAGATGAATAACACTTCAAATAAGAGATTGAGAATCTAAATTCTAAGCTGAATTCTAAAGCTGACAGATAGAAAGTAGAATAGACAATTTAAGTTTAAATTACTTCCTTATAAAATTAATACTAATTGCAATTGTAATAGGCTCATCAATTACTAAATAAAATTAATAACGAAAAAAGCGATGAACTCCTATAAATCAAAAATTAAATACAAAACACGTTAATGCATTTAACACAATAAGTCAATCAAAAATTGTAACACATGTATGATACTATAAATGAACGAGATTAGGACAATAATAACAATAAACAAGAGAGCAAATAATTGAGTTAACACTTCACCAATTTGACAAATAAATTTAAGCAATTGCAATAATAATCTGTTGAAACTATTACATAATTAAAGTAGAAGAACAAGTAAATTGAAAAGGAAAAACAAGAGCTCAATAAATAGTTGACTTAACAATAGTTCCTAGTTTCATAATTCTAATCTGAAATTACCAAATTAAAAAATACTAACTCTTAATTGACTCTGCAATTGTCACCTTAGGTGAAATAAAATAGTTTCTTTTCTACCTCTACAGCAGTTGCAATTGGAAAATAGAAATCAAAAAAGCAACTAAGTATTGTTAAGAAGAAAAATGAAATTAGTTTGGATGATTTTGCTGATTTTAATGAAAATTCATTACTTGATTCAAATGATAGTTTTGAAATAAATGAGACTTGTGGTTTCAGCAAAACTAAAAAGAATGCTTAAATTGAAGAATTCTAAAGTCCTCCAAGAAACCCATTTAAGAAATCCTAAATATAGAATAATAATAAAATCTTATGTGAGGATATCAGTGGTTAAGTCTCTTGCAAAAGCAGAGGAAAGTCAGCACCATTACCTTTGGTGAATGCTTTGACTAAGGCAATTAAAAGAAGTATATTATAACCGAATTAATTTTGATAGGACTGCTTTATCTAGGTAAAAATGATAGAATTTTGACATGTACTTATGATTCAGAGAAGCATTTGATCGATTGCGATATGGGATTGTGCTTGCTGGATGAAAATGGCTCTCCATTTGTCGTTAGTGAACAGGAAAAGGCTCAATTGATACAAATGAAGTTGATTAAGATAAATTGAACTATTATTATGCATACTTATTTATTATGAATTGAATTTCAAAGATTAAACATATAGTAAATTGAAAAATAACAATAAATATATAAAATCACATTAATTAATTGATGTGCTCTCTTAATAGTTTAGATTCAATAGTTAATTGATTTTATTAAATTTGGATGTTTCTTTTAATTGTTTCTATCAGATTAGCATCGATATTTAGGGTTTTGTTTTTGATGTTGTAAACTACTACCTTATGATAAGTTAAGAGTAATAAAAGCATAGTTTGAGATTATTTGCTTGAATGTTCTCCAGTATTAAGATTCAAATAGGATATTAGGTTATTTATTAGTAATTTGAGATCTTTTAAATCCTAATTTGTATAAATCTATTTGCTGGAGGCATAATTAATAATATCTCTATGCAATATTACCATCGTATTGATATCAATTTTGCAACTCACCGAATTTGGTATCAATTCTAGTTAATTCTCAACTGCCTTAATTAATTATTGCAAATGAGTCTTGCCTTAAAATGTATGTTGTTGTTGGAAATGCCTACTTAAACTATTAGTTCTTTTGACTCTTTCAGTCTTTGGATTTCTTAAAGTATTGTGATCATCTGAGGCTTTATTATTTTCCTCGAGTTGAAATTCTGAGACCTTAACTAAATCTAATTCATAATTCAATTTATTTGAAGTGTTGGTAGAGTGAGATTGCAGAGCACTTGTGGTTTTGCAGGAATCATTATTACTATTTAATTTTTGTTAAACATTATGAATTTTATCAATGAAGGTAGTTAATTCATTCCTTTGGGTATGAAATCTATAATTTTAAGAGTTACTTCTTTCTCTTTCTTATTTAATATTATTTTATTTGAGATTCTCCTTTAAATCAAAATAACTGCATGTCTATTTAGATTTATCATTAACAGGGGTTTTATTATCATATCTATTCGCTCTATCATTAGTTTGAAAGGCAGTATTGCTATAACTTCGGTTGTGCTTATTTATTTATGAACATAATGATTCTGTTCTTTATTTGAACCTTTGCATCTGAAGAGAGTATTTTGATTGATTGTTATTCTAAGAAGTCAAACTCTCTCTATGGGTTTGCGAATGAATTTCTTATTTCAGAGATTAGTTTTCCTTATTCTCATTTGAATTAAAATTAACGGCTTTAAAGAGGTCTTCCCAATTCCATCTTTTTTCTTCTCTTATTTACAAGCATCCTTTTATCAATTATTTAGTAGAATCAGAAACACGTGGATGAGTTGGAAATGACAGAGGCTAATTAATGTTATAATTGATATATACCTTTGAGTCCAATTTGTTCATCAATTCCACTAGGTTTTGAGAATGCCATGGAGTCATACCATAGAGCATTTCATACATAATTAAACCTAAGGACCAGATGTCGCATTTAGATGAATACTTGCCTCTTTTTAGAATTTAGGGACTCATATATAGTGGAGTGCCAACAAGTGAGTTCATTATTGTATCAAGATTTTGATCTATTTGTTTTGCGAAACCAAAGTCGGTAATTTTGAATTGAGAGTCGTGGATAAGGATATTTGCTGGTTTTATGTCTCGATGTATGATGCCTTGTTTAAGTAAAGCCTTGATCCCTTACAACAAATCCTTTAAGATTTTAAGTGCTTCCTCCTCAGGGATAACTCTAAATATTTTGAATTTAGTACTTTCTGGCCTTTATGAACTCTCTCAAGTCGCCACCATTACAATATTCGGTAATGATGTAAGTATTATTTGCACTCTATAATACATCAAGTAGCTTAACAACATGGGAATCATTAATTTTTTTCATGATTTCAATTTCAGAAGCTATGAGTTGATTGGCATAATCAGTAAGAAGCAATTTCTTGTCAATAATTTTTAGAGCAACAATACTATCTAATGATAAAATTGCAAATGTACTGTCATTAGTGTTTTTGCCAGCATAGACTGTCCCATATGCACCTTTGCCTAATTTGGATCTAAAACTAAATTGATAATTCTGTATTTTTTTATCGGGTGGATAACTCAGATGCTACATTTTATATTTGAATTTGAAATATTTATTTAATGTTATCAAAAATACTCTAATTTAAAATTTATGGCAAAATTGATGAAAAACTATATGAATCATCATCCTATTTTAGGAATTACAAAATTCATAAAAGCAAATATTAAATACATTAAATTATGATCTACATTACGAAGTTCAATTGGTTACAGACCTACTTTTATTCAATATTATATATACTTAATTATTTTTAATATAAATTTACTAGAAATAAATTCTTAATTCATTAGTAATTATCCAAGCCATTATAATGTGCTAATTAAATATTCAAAATTAATGGATTACACAAATTTTGATGAACCCATAATCTTTCATTCAACAACCTAAAGAATTATTGCAGTAGATTGAAGATTTTATTTATCTTTAAGGAAATCACTAATTACTATTTATTAATTAGTATATAATCAAAATTAGATTATTATCCTCCTATCAAATATAATAATTAAATTATATCTAGTTCTATGTAACTATATAATAGAAGGGAGGTGTAATTCATATAAATTATTTAATCAAAGTATCCTGTTTCTAAATCCATTATAATAGTCTTAATGCATCTGTCCATCTATTTTCACTTGAACTGCAATTCAGTAGAACTATTATATAGGAATTAGTTGAGTCCTAGAAATATTCAACAACTGAAGGGCCTGCTTCTTTTGTTATGCCTGTCTTGACTCCTTTGAATCCTTATTGCAATAGTTTGTTGGTGTTCTCCCAGTATAATTCTCTGGAGGTGTTTTGTAATTAATTCGGAGTTTCACAAAAATAAGATTAGGTTCTTACAATTTTTTAGAATTATTCATTTTATAAACTCTCGTATGTAAATTTACCCACATCATATGCTGTGGAGAAATTGTTTTCGTTGCAAAGTCCTTTTGAATATAGATTGTATTGGTTACCATGAACATTACTAAATTATGTGTTGGATAATCCTAAGGCTTGGACAAATCGATTCATTTCTTTTAAGAAGTGATCGTTTTCTAAGGAGTATAGTTAGAAATTGTAAGAGAGTGTGACAGCAGCATCATTACCTGATGGTAGCATCAATCCATAAAGGAGGTCTCTTAAAAAGATAGAGTCTCCTTTCAATAACCCTGCAGAAGTTCCAGATATTTTTTATGCCTATTTAGTTTAATTAATTAACTTAATCTGGAACAAAAAAGCGTTTTCGATCTATGTTCAAATTTAATTCCTTCGCTAACCTTAAACTTACAATACAAGTGACAATTTTGGTAATCGAAGCTATTTATCTGCATTTATTTTAATTGTATCCAGTGATATATTCTCCAGTGTGTCCGTTGAATATGGCCCAACTTTGGGCTGAAACTTTAAAAAATGGAATCAATTGCATATACAGAGGAGCTTTGCATAATGGCTGTTGAAAGATGGTCTGAGTGGCTTATTTTTATTTGAATGATATCTTTCTGCTGGCATACTAACTATGGATGCATCTATCAGGTATTTTAATTGTTTTTTGGTTTGTTTTGAATTTAGTTGACAAATCTGAAGATGGGTCATGTGAAATGGTGTTGCTTTCAATTGATTTCAATCTACTCAGGGTTCTTTTGGTGGATGTTCTTAGTTGAGTTTGAAAACCTTGAGTCCAATTTTTAATTTATATTGGTTATAAAGTTTCATCAATCATTTTATTAATTTATTTATTTAGAATATCCATTGAAGAGATTGCCCATAAAATTATATACATATATAAATATTTTATATTTAAAAATAAAGATATGAGAGGTAAGCAATAGGCTCAAGCACCTGTAACTCAAAAGTAATAACCGTAAAAATAAGGAAATGTACGCAAACCACAGGAAAGGTAATGTATGATGTTTGAAATGTGAAGACCTGGATTGACTGATGACGAGATTGATGAAATAAGAGAAGCATTCAACTTGTTTGATACAGAAGGCACAGGAAGAGTGGATCCAAGAGAATTGAAGGCTGCTATGCAAAGTTTGGGATTTGATTAAAAAAACCCAACTATTTTCAATATGATTGCTGAGTTGGAGAATGAAGGGTATGTAGTATGAGTTTAGACATAGAACTGACATTGATTTTGACTAATTTTTGGATGCCATCACATCAAAATTGGGAAACAGAGAAAATAGGGATGGGATAAATAAAATATTTGATTTGTTTGATGATGATGGAAGCAATTCCATTAATTTGAATAACTTGAAGAGAGTAATGATTGCATATCGAAATGGTATTAGGTTTCTAAAGAATTGGGTGAGACTATGACAGCAGAAGAGTTAGCCGAGATGCTAGAGAGAGCAGCTTCAAATGGAAGAGAGATCACTAGAGAAGATTTCTATAATATCATGGTTAAAAGAACATTTTGATAACCATCAGATATATATATAAAATTATATAAATAAATGATTAAAATAGAGGCGCACACTTTTAATCATAAAAATGCTTTGACACCAGCTTAATTATCGAATAAGTCTCCCATTGATATTGTTAGATTGAAAAAAATCATTTTCAAACGAGAGTTGTTAAATACAGAATAGAATTTTCTCGTTTAAGTAACACCTTTATTTCTATATTTCACCCAGACTGAAGAACATTAGGAAATTATTTACATAAAACCTGATGTCCCAGATCTAATTATGACTGATCTTACCAACATGGCGATATAAGAAGACATCTCAGAATATCAAGCTTTGGAGTATCACAATAGAGCAGCCAAACTGTTAGAATTTTATACGCAGAATTAGTAATCCAATACATTTACTTTAGGATTCAAGTGTAATATACATCTGTTTTATTCTCAAAAATAAATTATGCCATAATCCTAAAGAAATACGCAGCCTAAAATGAAGCTTTAGAAATGTTGTTAGATTGTGTTTAGATTCTTAAGATCAAGGGACAGACTCTTAAAAAAAGTCCACCTGAAAGTTTGAGCCTAGCCAAAACCATCTAAAATAAACTATTGAGATTGAGACTCATCTTTTAGATCACTCTGCTATTTTCTGAAACCAAAAAGTAAACTCTACATTTTATATCAGAAATAAACAGGCCTTGGAAATGGCCAAGAGTGCTTTAAGAATATTAAAGAGCATTATATAGAACACCATTAAATTGTGCTAACTCATAACTGGATCATCATCAGTCAATAAAAAATAACGTGCCAATTCAGAAATCAGCTCTCCTTTGCAAAAAAACCAAGCATAAAATCCCCCTCAACAATAATCTTAAATCCTCTCTTATCCTTAAATTGTGGAAGTAGTCTTCAAAGAAATACTTACTTCTATTAAGACTATGCTGCCAAACGATGAAAAATCTCACGAAGTCATCAGTACTCAAAATTTAATGATTCGCAACTTCTAAAATAGAAGTCAGTCACTCTTTGCCTCTGAGTATGTCTTCCAACCGCAAAATAATTAACAAAATAAATTATTCACTATCATTGATGATACACACCCTATGTTACAAATGCAAATTCTAGGGTTGATGTAATTAACTTATGTAGATTTAGAGGAGTTATTCCCTATAAATAGTTTTGAGATGGTGATGGCCGAAGAAGTCATCTTAGAATTAGTAAATCTATCCATTAATTCATTAGATAATGTTGACAGGATTAAGTTTCTATAGTATTTCAACAGAACTCAGATTCATCAACAATCAATAAAACAAATTAACAGTAGAAATCTGGCTGGGCAAAGCAGTGGAGATATTCTATACATATGTCCCACATTCAAGTGCAATCTTCAATTAGATTTATCAGGTCTATCAAAAGTTATATGGAGTAGACAAATAATCGATTGTAATCATCTCACAATATAATTTAGCCAGAAGATGAAGAAGTTGAATATCATACCAAATTATTGAAACCGCATCCTTATAACAATAAATCCACTCTCTCTAACAAAGTTGTCATCATTATCAAAGTCCCCAATCATAACAAACAGTCTAAAGAAACAGAAACCAAATAATCTCAAAATACATAAACAACACTCCAAAAGATACAATAAAACATTTTAGCTAAGAAGTAAGCAATGCTTCCCCAAAAACATATCTTCACTCAACCTGATACAGAGAAAAAGTTTGATACTTGGCATGATGAAACAGAAAAGTCTCCTCAACAAAAGTAGAAACTATTTATTTAAAAACATAATAACTCTCTAAACTCTACTGACATAAGACAGAGAGTAGAAATCCTAATGAATTAAATACTTAATCAATAGGCTAAATTAACATAAGAAAAACTAAAATAGAAACATACACCTATAACCATCCTAAAACAAAAGTACTAAGCGGCATCGAAAGTTCAGGAAAATTAAAAGACTTTTAATCCATTTATGACTTCTTAATTTAAAACCACTATCTCTGCTAGTAGATCTCTTTCCAATTCTAGAAAAGCTAGTTAAGCAAACTTAAAAAGTTAATCAAATGGTGTAAAAACTGCACAAATGAGATATCGAACTCAAATAAGCACCATTCCTGGAGATGATTCATCTAAGTAGCTTGCTTAATAAATTTCAACACAATTGGCTAGCCTAAATCGCTAATCTAATGTAAAATATATTATATTTTGATTCCTAGAAAGGATTCCTCCAAAAGAGAAGTGAGTCTGTTAAAAAAACAAAAATTCCATTTCAATAACGTTGAATTACTTATTAAATTATTTAAATTTACTCCTTTTTAAAATCTTAATTTCATTTAAGAAAGATTTATATTAAATATATAATATACAAACTTAGACCTTATTACAGAAAGAGTGTTTAACTAAAATATATATATATAAGAATAAAGGGGTAAATAAAATATTATTGAATACTCTTTGAAGTCACCTAATAAATTATTCATAGAAATCAATTACTTATATTGATATTTTTAAATATTTTTTTATAATATTTTATTCAAATGGATTAATCGTTTAACGATCTCAAATTTCAATTATAGCAAGAGCTATAAAAGGAAGGAATGGTTGAAAACATGAAAACATAGCTTAGATACAAGTTATTGGAGAGACTGTAAATGCAATAAAAGAAAATTCCTTCCTCCGATAAAGTATCAGAAAGTGAGATGTTACTAAAAAGAGTGTTAGCTAGTGCAGTGGCTGATTATTTAAGAGAGGCAAGAATGGATTATTCATTGTACTTTTACAATATATTTTAGGTCTGTTTTTGTACCAGAAACCACTTTTGGAGCAGCTTTATTGAATAAGGAAGAATTGAAAATACTTTTGAAAATCGATAATTTATAGGGATCCATTTTGTCATAAATGTTTAGTGATATATTGCTTCTTAAGCCTAAGGAACCACTGAAATCGAATGCAGCTACTTAAACATTCTACGGGGATGCCGTAATAAATTTGGAACAGAAATTAAGCATGGTAGATAATATGTACAAAAGCAAAATCGAAAATGAATTGCTCAAACCTCAGTATGACATGGAGGAACGCATTCTGAAGATGAAGAGAGAATATGAGCAACGTTTGAAAACGGAGATAGCTACCGAGACTACAAGAATCCGAGAGTTTGAGGCCTAGCACATTAGGTTGGAAGAGGCTGATAAATACAGATAAAAATTATAAGATTACAGGGAGGAATTAGAGAAGAATTTCTAGGAGAAACTAAATGTTTTGAGGGAAAGGGAAAATGACACATTAAAAATGGCTGCATAGAAAACAAAGGAATTGGAGTCGTTGAATTATTAGTATAGATAAAAGATTTTGAAGGAACACGAGATAATTAAGTTAAAGGAATAGGAGATAGAAAAACAGAGAATCGCTAATGAGGAGAGTTTGAAATTTTAGAAGGCCAAATTGGATGTAATGGAAAGAGATTTGTCTAAGAAGTTGGCTGATGCAAATGGTAATGAGGATGTGATTCGCAGAAAGTATGAGGCATAAATACATGCAGCCAAAGCTTCTGCTGAGACTGAATTCTATGAGGAGAGGGAATAGATAAGAAATAAACTGAAATAACTAGAGGGAGATCTAAGGAATATGGAGAATTTGAAGTCAACCATTAAGACTTTGTAAAGAGAAAACGAATAATTGGTGGAGGAAAATAAAAAGTATGTTGAATAAGTGAGGGATGTCAAAAAGAGAAGAAAGGAAATGGAGTATGAGTATGAATAAATGAAAGAAAATTTAAGAGCAGTAAGTGATGCTCAAAGAAGAGATTAAGAATTATGTAGAAAATATGAAACAGACATAAGATTGAAAGAAGAAGAGATGGCCTTATATAAAACAACAATTAATCACAAGGATGGAATGTTGAATGATCACAAAGTACTGTAATAGGAATAGATCAAAAAGTTATAGAAAGAAATTGAGTAATATTAAAAAAAGGTGGAAGCCCAAGAACTCTTGATCAAGGATTTGTAGGTTAAAGAGAATCATTCACCTAACTTCGATATTCAATCTGCTTTGTTTAAGGGAAACATTGCTGATTCACAATTGATGCAATACAATTTTTAGGATCACAGTAATAAAATGAAGCTAATCAACAATGAATTAGATGAGAACAGGATGAGAAGAAGAGAAGAAATAAAGAGATTATAAGAGAATGCTGTAGTATCTCTGAATACTGAACCTGCTTTGAAATTTGATAATGTTTGGGATGTTTACAACAGTTCGGTCAATTATTCATAGGTTGGTGGATTGCAATATAGATCCAAGTTGCATGAGGATTACTAGGGTGGTAAGATATTTTAGACAGGAGAGGATGCCCAATCTTAAGTTGTTTAGAGTGGTGTATTTTAAAAGAAGCCAGGATAGGGAACACAGTAATAGCAATCAAATATTATCGAGGAAACATATTCAGAACTTATGTGACTTAGTTATATTATATATATATATAATACGCTTAATGATTTTTACTCCAGCTTCTTAGTCAGAGAAAGCAACTTTAGAGAAGATAGGAGAATTCCTAATGGGTTTGAGCAAAAATGTGCTTAAACAAGGAAGTTCTATTAGTTTACCAAAATTTCTGTAAGATTTGGAGCTTACATCAAATGAACTATGTTATATGCTTTAAGCGAGAGATTAAAATGAATACAGTCATGCTCTAGGGAGATATACGTAGGTTTGGAAGGATGTATTGAAATCAGTTCAGAATAGTAATCAAATGCAAACAGAAGGGGAACATGAACATGAACCATTGTCTAGAACTGATTTGATGTAACGAATGAAGTAGAGAATGATGGAAGGAGGACAAACTGGTAGATTGGGAGGGGCCAGAGTTGGAGGCTTCTAATCACCGTTAGCAGAAAATGAGAGAATAAAGAATCGTTAATTAAGTAGCAAAAACTCAAATGTACTGCCATCGATTCGATTGAATTCCTTCGATCTGCAGAATGATCGAACTTTGAATAACTCGTCAAGGATGCAATACGAACTAGATGATCATCAGAAATGCATCTTAAATGAAGTTTTGAAGCAAAGTAATAAATTAAATGTGTAAATTGTTATGAAACGATATGATCCAAAAATTAAGTTATGCATATCACAAGGAACAGATACAAATCTCGATATTTTGGAAGTTATGAGGAATTTTAAGAAGGTAAGCTAATATCCTTATTTGGTAGGAATATCATGAAAGCAAATTGTAAGAGATAGTGAAAGATAGTGATAAACATAGTATGGAGTTGCAGAAATTTCTGAATGAAAGAATTGATTACAGATATACCTTATAGACTTAATAGGTGACTGACAAACTCAAGGGTGTGCATAAGTAAATGATTTAAAAGACTATGGATATCGAAACTGTAATTTTGGATACCTAAAAACAATAAATCCAATAAGACATGATACCCAACATATTGCATGACTTCATAGACTACATCAACGAGAGTTATCAGAATGTTTAGCATGAGACCTATAAGGTTTTGATGAAATTCGTGTCTGGATTTATAGTAAAGAGAGCCAAATAAGATTCAGAGAGGAAATTACCTCAATAAAATTCTCAATAAATGTTGTCCAGCTCCAATAGGGAACGCAAGGCTCCACCCCTAAGAAGAGCGGATAATACAGAACAATTGTAAAAGGAGTTGTCAAATAAAAATGTTGAATTGGATAAAAAGTTTATGGAGAATGCAGAATTATGGAATAAAGTGAGGTAAATGGAGAACTAAATAATGTAATAAAACATTGAAATTGAATCCACCAAAATTGCTGAAAAGACTATAGAGTAAGAACGAACTCAACTGTTATATGATAAACAAAAATTAGAGAAGCAATTGCTAGTAATAACAAGCAAAACATTTTAAGATTAGGCAGTCTAAGTGTCAGATCAAACTCTGCAATAACAAATATCAAAATTATAAAAGGAGAATTAGGAACTATAATAAAGACTGTATCAATTAACTGGAGAATTAAATAAGAAGAAATCAATTCCAGCAGATCAAAGAAGCCTGTAGATGGACTTCGGTAATAGTTAGGATCAATCCAATAAAGATTCGCCTAAAGCTACAAGCAAAATTAAATCCTAATTTGATTTCCCTCAAGATGAGGATAATTTTTCGATTGGCTACCGTGGAGAATCGAATCGATAGATCTAATTCAGCGATTATACAAAAAGATAAAGCACTGACGTTGTACATAGAATGAGTTTTACTCAACATGTCCAATCCTAGAAAGACTAAAAGATATCAAAAAATAATAGTCAAACCTCAGATACATAATAAAATAAAAGAGGGTTGCAACATTCCTCTACAGAACTTCATCCATCCAAACAACCCAACAAATAAACGACACTTGATTAAAAATCAATAGAAGAACTAGACGAAGAGCAAATGCAAAAAAGTGGTTTATTGTTGTAATAACAATCATAACAGTAAATCAGAAAGAGTGTATCTCCAAATAATGACAATGGCTAATTATTACGAAAGATGAGTTCAATCACAAAATCAGATTAACAATTAACTTCCTCGATTGTTAGAAAGTCTACGGTAAACTAAATGAAAATTGGTGACTCTACCATACCAGATACTGATCTAACCTAAGCTTAAACTATTCAGGATACTTAAAGGACTACATCAGAGAGAAAAATGACTTTGACTGATAGGAAAAACGATTCGAGTCCTTCAGATAGGAGAATCTAAACTGAATGTTACGAATAATCACAATTTCAATAGGGATAATAAAACACTCAAATCTCTAATACACCACAACAAAATAAATAAGTTAGAGGATATAAAAAGTCTGAAACCTTATTATCAAATAAAACTAAAAATAAATACGCCAGGAAATCAACAGATTCCATGAGAGAAATTCCAGAAGATCAAGGAGTTATTTCTAACCGAGGCTCAACTAGGATCATAGAAAGTAATAAAACAAGGATACATCTAATTAAAGAAGAAGATGAAGTCAGTAGACATTCAAAATCTCGTCTTTCTTCTTAGTAATCCTCTTAATCACATATCAGAAGATCCAGTACTACCATCCAATAGCCAATTAAAATGGCCATTAAAGTCAATGATGAAAATCCAGCCGAATATTTCGCATCTTGGAAACAGAGAATGGTAGAATAGGAATAACAAACAGATATTGAATTGTTCACTAATTTTATAGAAAATTTCATTTTTAATCTGGGATTACCTAATGAAATTCAATAGAAAGTCTTATAAGCTATCCCAGCCATGATTTAATCAAAGAATCT